TATTCCACCGTAAGGGTGGACCACAGTTTTTTGCCCATTCACCTATTGAAGGACAGTCTTAGTTGCCTTCGAGTTTTGACAATTAGGAATAAAAGTGCTATAAACCTTTAGGTGCTGGCTTTTGCATAGACATAAGCTCTCAACTCATTTGGGTTAATACGAAGATGAGTGGTTGCTGAATCTTGTGGTTAAGACTTTTTTAGCTTAAAAACAAAAAAACCCAAAAACCTGTCAAACTTTCTTCCAGAATGGCTGTACCAATTTGAATCACATTAACGATGAGTGAGAATTCCTGTTGTTCCACATCCTAATATCTGGTATGGTCAGTATTTTGGATTTTCGTCATTCTAGTAAATATGTAACAGGAGTATCCCTTTTTTTTCCCTTCCAAATTTGCAATTCCCTATAATGGTGAGCACCTTTTCGTATGCTTACTTGTCATCTGTACCATCAGATGTCTATTCAGATCTTTTGCCCATTTTCTCATTAGGTTGTTCCTTTTCTTAATTGTTGAGTTTTAAGTTTTTAGTATACAGTTAACCGTTAAACAAGAAGCAGGGGTGTTGGGGCACCCACCATTGAAACAGTCGAAAATCCAGGTATAACTTAGGTTGGCCCTCCAAACATGGAAATACAGTTGACTCCTGAAAGGGTGGGTTTGAACTGCAATGCGTCCACCTAAAAACGGATTTTTAAAAATCCCCATTAGTAAATGCACACAGTACAAAGTTGTTAAGGGTCCAATGTACGGTATTTTTAGTTACAGTCCTTATCAGCTATGTCTTTTGCAAATATTTTCTTCCAGTTTGTGGTTTCTCATTCACTTGAATATACCTTTTTACAATATGTAATCATTGCAGTGTGTACAATTTGCTTTTTAATATAGCATGATAGCAAGCATTTCCCATTTTGCTTGAGACTTCCCAATCACCATTTTAAAGTTCTGCAAAATAATATCACCGTTTCTCCTTCCACAGCCCCACAGAGACTTTATTGCCCTCAATTTACAGGTGAATAGAAAAGAAAACGGTACTTTGCCTAGGGTTGCTAAAATGAGGGTCTACGGTTGCTAAACTGAGTGCTTAGGCTCCCACCCCCTGGGTAACCCAGCGCCTTTTACTGGACCAAGCTCCGTCTCCCCCGTACGGAAAGTTTCTAGAACTAGGTAATATTTCCTCTTTCCTTCTTGCCTCCCAACTCTCTTTCAAACAGAGTAAAGCCAGGATGCTTTGGCTGACAAACCTCGGGGTACAAGGCCCACAGGCCGAAGGGCGGGCGCTCTCCCTGTCCTCCTCCTCTGCGGAGGCAGGGGGTGGAGGCAGAGCGAGGAGTCCACGCCCCGAGGATCGCCGCCCGCCCTTGGGTCGCTCACTCGACGCACTGACGGCGCAGACTGCGGATCCGACCTCCCCGGCACACGGCGGTCGCAGCCCACACCTCCAGGTGCAGAGCGCGCTGTCCCACCACGGCGAGGGAGCGAGGGGGCGCGGCTGGCGGCGGGGCCCACGGAGCTAGGCGTGGTGAGCGCGGGGCGGGGCGGCCACTACTGTCTGGTGTTCCCGGGCTAGCCGATCCTTCTCTTTTGACTCTCCGTAAGGCTAAAGCGTCCTTCCTCAGTCCGCCGCTGAGAAGCTGCCACGAAGTCGGAGTAATTCTTGATCTCCCCAGCTCTTTCTTTCCTCACCCGGACCTGGGGAAGTCTACTGCAGAAACGAAAGTAAATAACTCTCGGGTGCGTCTGCGCGGAGACAGTACCAGCGGCCACCTAGTTCGCCAGACTCCACTTTCAGGCGAGGCGGGGCTTCCGGTGTGGTGGGTGGGCGGTGGACGGAGACAGAGTGCCCCAAGTCGGGCGGTGACTGGCCAGTCTTATGATGGGCGTGACCCGTGGCTTCCCCGGAAGTTCCACTGAGTGAACCTAGATTCCTGAAGTTGGGTAGGCGGGCAGATCGCCCCTGCTTCTTCCCGCCCGCTAGGAGTAGGCCGCCGGGGGCTTGTACTCAGTCTTAAAACCCTGGAGATCTTTCAACCAAGGGATCCTGGCTTTCTCTGTTTCAAAGCAAGCTGGGAGGACGAAAGAAAATAGGAAATAGTATCTACCATTAGAAACCTCCGCCACAGTATGCAGAAGTCGGGCGCAGAATTGTCTGTCCAAGGCTCAGCCGCTACCATGCTCGTGAGAGCTTTCGGTATAAATCCGTACAAAGGCGGAGACCTGTCCTGGGGCCACGACAGCGGTGTGACATTGGAACACAACCTTCGTTTTTGTTATCTTGGTAGGAATGATGGGCTTCCATTGCAGTTTCAGTAAGTTACAGTCGTGTCTGCTGTCGCCGTCATAGGGTTAAGTAGGTGTCTCGGTCTGGGACTTCTTACCAATCCTTGAAAGGACCCTTTGGTAGTTGGGGCTACAGCGGGTTGCAAACACAATCAAAAGCATTTCCACATAATCTTAGACGTGTGCTAGCAAAAGGGAAAGAAGGGTCAACAGCCACATTGACAAAAGGGACAGATGTCATAACCCTAGGGGCCTTGTTCAGTGGTCAGTGGCATTTGCTTCTGTGAAGTGCTACAGAATCTCTTCAGGTCTTTGAAGAGTATTAATTCCATCCTTCTAAGCATTTGACAAAAGCCCACAAGGGGGGGGGGAGGGAGGGAGGGAGGGAGGGAGGGGGGAGAGAGAGAGAGAGAGAGAGAGAGAGAGAGAGAGAGAGAGAGAGAAAGAACACGCTGGGTGTCGATTTGTGTCTTGCTGATGGTTTGTCTCTTCCTTGCTCAGGATTCTTGTTTATTTTGGACAAAGCCTAAGTCTGTTATAATCAACCAACTTTGCAGAAGTCCTTTCTTCCCTATTTTACACTTGAGGAAATCAAGGCTCAGAGTGAACTTTGGAATGCAGAATGACTTAGTAGTATTTAACCTGGATTTGGTAACCACCTGGTGGATGCTAGAGTAAGAAGGAAATTGTGGTCATACAAATGTGGAAAACTAGCTCTTCCAAACAAAAAGTGAAGACTAAGCCTTTAAAATTTAGGGCATCTCATTAGTATTACTGATAAAACAGCAATAAAGATGACTTTAATTTTCATTTTCCTCAGTCTGCACTATATTGACCACTGGAGATATGTTCTACTTTCAGGATTGTGAATCTTAATAGGAATTAATAAAAATTTTTTAAAAATATTTATTTTTAGAGAGAGGGAAAGGAGAGAGAAGGAGAGGGAGAGAAACATTGATGTGCAAGAGAAACATCAATCATCTTGACTCTCACATGCCCCTAACATAGGACCTGGCCCACAATCTTGGCATGTGCTCTCACCTGCAATTTAACTGGTGACCTTTCTGTTCGAGGGAGAATGGCCAACCCACTGAGCCACACCAGTCAGGGTGGAATTGATAAAAATTCTTAAAATACAAACTCCCAAAATGGCAAGCTATTATTTGAGGCATATTAATCCATAACATGTTAATACCACCAATATGACCTGGGAATTTGAAAAATATGCTTTTCCATGCTGTGGTTGGATATTATACTCTGGCAAAAATGATTGTATTAACCCATAGAATATTGATTTTGAACCATATATTTTCATGTTTTTAAAATTTAGTCTGTACATTCCCCCTGTTTCTGACTGTAGCATACTCATTTAATGTAAGTGAGCAGGACTGTCAGATTAGGTCTTTGCATATGATTTTAACAAAGACAGATTATTGTTTGCTATGTACACAAAATAGCATGTTGTGAATTAATAGTGGAAGTTTGAGTGAAGAGTCAAAGGTTTTTCCCATGATCTGCTACTTTAGGTGAAGCATTTAACTCCAAATTTTAGTTTCTTTATTTGCAATAATGAGACTAAAACTTACTTCACGGGATCAAAACCTGCTAATGTACAAGATACTGCAGTTAAACTCTTTCAGTCTTGTGTTTTGTTTATCATTTGGCTTTTCCTTGTTCAGAACTCTTGTTTATCTAGGTAAAACATCAAGCTGCATAATCAAAAGAAATGAGAGAAGTCCATGTTAGATATATGAGTAAAGTCAGAGTTCTATTAGCAGGGAAAAGCGGGGCAGGGGGCAATAATAGGTAGGCAACCAACATTTCTGTCAGGCTCATTATGTCATCATTGAATTGGAAAAAATCATCCCCTGCCACTGAAAGATAAATATGGATATTTTTAAATCCTGTTAAGAACTTCTTTATTTATGTATAACATACAGAGAAAAGTGCACAGATCATAACTGTGCAGCTCTATGTAGTATCACAAAGTAAACATTACCCAGATTAAGAATTAGAACATGGCAATCACTCCTGAAACCCATCCCTATGCCTTTTCTCATTCACTGCCTCCTGGCTCCCACCTGGTAGTAACCACTACTCTGACTGTTAATATCATAAATTAGTTCTGTCTATTTGAGGGGTATTAATTATTTATTTGTATTTCCCCCCAGTTTTATTGAGGCATAATTGACCAACATATTTGAATATAGATCTACATATTTTGATATATAGACTCCCCCTGCCTTATAGATAATTTGTGAAATTTCTTGAAATTTTTAATCAATTTTTTTTGGGTGAGGGGAATTTGCTTCTCTGTGTCCCTGAATTAATATCCATTTATCCCATTGAAATGGACACAATTAGTTGAAATTAGGTGTCATTACATGATGTAACAGGCCAGTGTGCTTTTATTGATTACTGTGTAACGTGGCTCTATAAAGTGGTTTCTACCTGCCTAGATTCACAAGGCCTTCCTAAGATATTAAGTGCTTATAAAGTTGAATTGTTCATGGGGAAAAAGAGTGAAAACAAAAGAAGTCATTTGAAACAACAGAAAAGATGCATGAGATTAAGAAAGATCAGACTAAACCAGCAAATTGCAAGACTGTAAGAATTGATTTGGGATGGGAACCAACTCACAAAGTACAGCAGACCCACCTGGAGGTCTTCACTTGAGCTCCATCATGCTTGCTGGAGGCTCTTTATTTTTGTTGTCTTGGCAGATTTGAGGAGGCAAGACATGGGCTGATGGAGAGATAACAAATACAACCCATAAAACTGAGGTTTATACTCAGATGGGCATAGTTAAGAGCATGGTTGTACTTCCTTCTGGTTCTTTATTCTGTGAGTATTTTTAAAATACAGCATAACGCATTCACATAAAACATCATTTTTGAAACCTGCTAGATATATTTTAGAGTATGGATGGGCCATAACTTACTCTTTCTTCTGGATATGTAAATTGTTCTATATGCTTTTTGATCCTTGTAATGTTCCTGGGAACATCATTGTACATACATCAGTCATCTCTACTTTGATGCCTAAGAATAAAGAACTTTTGAGTGAAGGAATTATTTCCTTTAAAAAATAAATTTTAGCCTTGGCTGGGTGGCTTATTTGGTTGGAGCATCATCCCATGCACCAAAAGGTTTTGGGTTGCTTTCTCTCCACCTTCTTCTCCCCCCTCCTCTAAAATCAATAAACATCCTCAAGTGAGGATTTAAAATAATTTTTATTATAAATGTAATTGTGTTTATTGTAGAAAATTTGTGGACTCTAATACAAACTGTAAAGAAGAAAGTAAAAATCATCCTGCCATCCATATATAATCCTGCTAACATTTTGGTATCTTTTGTTATGTCATTTTTTTGTACATATGTATATGTAACTTACAGACTACAATTTTGAATGGCTATATATTCCATTTTATGAATGTACTATAATTCATTTAACTGTGTCCTTCATTTTGGGACAATTAAATAGTTCTTTTAAAAGTTCATTTAACGATTAACTACCTCGTGCCAGGTTCTATACTAGGCACTGGAGACTGCAAGAGTTTCCTGCCTTCTGTGAGCTTAATTAGAAATAATTCTCAAATTACAGCTATCTTAACTGTTTCAAGGGTGCTGTGAAAATACCTAACGGGAAGACTTAGGATGGCTTCCCTGAAAATATGCCAAAGGATGACCTGAAGGATGAGCAGCATCTAGCCAGGAGAGTGTACCCTAAAGAGGTTGCAGGGGGAGTGTGGGGTAAATTGCCCTAATAAGATGGGCTCTGCATGCTGCAGGGAATCTATAGGAAATGAAAAAGGAGGCCTAAAGCAAATACTAATATATGTTTTATTTCTTACATCCTCCACCCCCGCCCATTCTCACAAGGATTAGTCAGGAGAACTGCTGAGCAGAGGGACCACAGTTGCACATTGCCATTGTCAAAGCCTAGTAAAATGGGAGAAATGGGGATGAATGTGGGCATCTGGGCCAACCATAGCCGGAGCCATAAAGCCGGCAACAAATGAGTTTTCAAATATTTTTTTCTCATGTAATACTTACTGGTCCAGTGAGGCAGTCATTTCCTTTTGAAAATGAGAAAATGGAGGCTTATGTAAAGTACTGAAGTCACAGGGCTAATAAATCATAGGGCTAGAGTTCATGTAAGAGAAAGAAAGGCCTCTGCTGATAGGTGCCCGTGGTCAGGGTGGCAGGGCCCACCCACAGCCTTTGTACAAGGTGTAGAAAGTTGGTTACTTGAGCCCGACTGCCCAGGCCACTGCACAGACTTTTGAAAACTCCCTCCCCCCTACATTTTATTACAGAAGATTTCAAAGTGCAAAGTTTGAAAGTTTTCACAGTGAACTCACATATATCCACCATTTCATTTTACCCTGCTTATTTTATCACATAACCATCCATCACTTATCCCTTTCTCTCTTCACCAGTGTATCTGCAAAGTAAATGTGAGATGTCAGTTTATTTCCCTCTAAATATTTCAGCGTGCATACCCCTAACTAGAGTTCAGTATGTTTACAGATTTTTCTTTTGATGTAAAATTCACCTGCAATTCTTGAGTATTACCTGCTGAGTATTGACAAATGCTTATGCCTGTATAACCCTAACCCCCCACTGAGATGTTAGAACACTATCTTTCCCGTAGAAAGCTCCCCTGTGCCTCATCCCTCTCAATCTTTACCCTGGCCCCAGACAACCAGTGTTCTTGTAGCAACACAGATTAGTTTGAGTGTTCTAGAACTCCATATAACTGGAGTTATACAGTATATATTCTTTTGTGTAAGGCTTATTTTACTCAGCACAATGTTTTTGTGACTCCTTCACATTATCGCATGTATTATTAGTAGTTCATTTCTTTTTATTGCTGGGCAGTATTCCATTGTATGAATATACCACAGGTTGTGTGTGTGTGTGTGTGTGTGTGTGTGTGTGTGTGAGAGAGAGAGAGAGAGAGAGAGAGAGAGATTGTATTAGGAGATGGGGCCTTTGGAAGGTAATTAGGTCATGGAGGTGGAGTCCTCCAGGATGAGATTAGTATCCTTGGAAAAGAGAGTTTTTCTCTCTCTCCACTTGTATTAGGAGGTGGGGCCTTTGGAAGGTAATGTGTTACCCATTCCCTTATTGATGGACACTTGTTTCTATTGTGGAGCTATTACGAATAAATTAGCTATGAACATTGCACAAGTCTTTTGGGACATATGTTTTTATTTCTCTTGGCATTGGAATTGCTGGGTTATTGTGTAAGTATATGTTTAGTTTTATAAGAAATTACCAGACCTTTTCCCAAAGTGGTACAATTTTATATCCCCACCAACAATGTATGGGAATTCTGGTTGTTTCATATCTTCACCAGGATTTGGTGGTGTCAGCCTTTTCAATTTTGAATATTCTTGTGGGTGGGTAGTAGTATCTCATTGTGTTGCCCCATGGATTTTTATTTGTCATTTCAGTTTAGGAAACTGAATTGATGAAAGAAGAGAAAAATGAAGCAAGCAAATAGTTCTGTTTTGAGATTGTATACATTGTATATTTTATAGTACTGATGTATAAATTCTCCAAATCCTCATCCTTTTTACATCTCCCTATTCTTTTGATATAGTGCATTGTTCTTTTTATATTCTTTAAATTCTTTTGTTCATAATTAATATAAAGCTATTTAGTAGCTTAATTACCTTAAATTCTTTGGTGCCTAATATTGCTGTTTGTTGTACTTACTAAGTCTGGTTCATGATGAACTTTTTCTTTTGTGTTTTATAATTTTGGAAAGGGAGTTCATGTTAACTTAATTCTTTATTTCTGGGAATTTTGTTTGGCCTGGCTTGATTGTGTTTTGTTTGCTTTAGCCTTATAATCCAGGGATGCCATTAATCTGTGATCTCTTTATATGTAAAAGTTCTTAGTTTGGGGGATCCTAGCTATAGAGGAGTCTAGATGCAAAGCTCAAATCTACTTAAGAGAAGGCCCAAAGTTATGAATTTACACAGAGACTTTTTTTTTACATGCTGTGCCCAGTCTAAGACAAGTTTTTTTGCTAGTGGACTGCTTTTTTTTCCTAGTCCATCCTTCCCTTGAAGGGTAGGATAGCACATTAAGGAGTGCCACATTAAGGGGGGGAATCTTTTTTTCAACCCCCTTTTCTTGCATTCCCTGACCTCAGCTCTTGTCGCTGTTTCGGCTTTAAACTCTGACCTCTGGATGGTAAGGTTAGGAGTGCCCCAGAAAGCCACTGTCTTATCAGTCAGCTGCTATAACAAATCACAGACTAGGTGGCTTAAACAATGGACATTGTTCTCACAGTTCTGGAGGCCGGGGAGTTTACCATCAAGGTGCCAGCAGATCCACGTGTGGCAAGGGCCCACTTCCTGGGCTGTCCCCTCATGGTGTCCTCACATAGTGGAGAGAGAGAAAAACTCTCTTTTCCAAGGATACTAATCTCATCCTGGAGGACTCCACCTCCATGACCTAATTACCTTCCAAAGGCCCCACCTCCTAATACAATCACATTGGAGATAGGACTTCAACATAGGGATTTGGGGGTGGACACATTCAGTCCATAGCAGCTTCCCTGTGGGCATTGGCCCTGTACCCTGTTCGTTTTCAGTCTCTGTGCTGCTTCTCCTTTCCGCTGAACCTAGCTGTGCATTGAAATGTTTGCATTATGTTTCTTGACATAATAGGTCTTTTGTATCAGGAGGGCTTTCAAAATTTTCTAGTCCTGTTTGTTGCCAGAAATGAAAGTCTAAGGAATAAAAATTGTGGTCTTCTGTGATTCTTAGAAATATGAAAGAAAGTTCATCATAGAGACTGTGAGTCTATCCTCAAAAAATAAAGGTACACCTGGTTTTTTGAATAATGAATTTTTTGCACTGAGATGTTTTCTTGTTTTCTTTACAGGGAACAGCTCTGAGGTGGAAAAAAAAAAAAAAAGTGGTGTATTTTTGAGCATTCCAAGCATCTGGAAGGAAACCAGACATGTCCTTGGATGACATTAAGATGAAATCCAGTGACTTCCTAGAGAAGGAGCATCTAGACAGTGGGGGCTTCGGAGAGGTGTCTTTGTGTTTACACAGATCCCATGGACTCGTAATACTGAAAAAGGTGTACACGGGGCCGAAATGCACAGAGTGAGTTGGGAACAGGGCGGTGGATCAAATTGCGGACTGGCCTTAGGAAGCAGTGTTTGTGGAGGTGCAGGAGCAGGCAGTGGGTAAGGATGGCACAGGCTTTAGAATCAGACAGACCATGGTGTAAGTTTCAGTATACAGGCTTCATGTCAAATAACCCTGCAAGGTGGTTATTATCCCTGTATTACCAATAAGGATTTGGAGGCTGGTTAGTGGAAAGTTTACAGCTGGTAAATAATGGAAGAGAAATAAAGGGAAGGAAATAGAGAAAAGGAAGGAGATCAAGGGCGCTAAGGAAGGCAATGAAAAGGAAATGGGAGGGATTGGTAAAGACAGAATTGCATCGCATCTTTGGTAAAGACTAGTTGTAAGTATGGAACAGAAAAAAAAAAGCGGTCCATTAATTAGTGGTTCCAGGAACCTTCTCTTGAAAACAATTGGTAGTGTCGTTTTACTTCTTTCTCTTCTTGCCAGAATGGTTATGCGAAAGGCTGCACTTTTTATTATATTGTCCAGCACAGTCCTTATTTCATGCAAGTGTGTCATTGCTGCTTTGCTGTTCACTTATTTGCCCACCAATTTAACATTTCTTGAACACTCACTGTCGCTCACTGGGAAGGAGCAACCACTCTGCCTTCTAAAGCTTGTAGTCAGTGCCTGGCAGAGCTCAGTACACAAACAAGTAGTGAGAAAAGCACATGCAAAGGAATGCCTTGAAGACATGTACTGCATTTGTTGGGGGAACAAAGGGAAGAGGGGCTAACTCAGCACCTTTTCCTCCCACAGGTACAATGAGTCCCTCCTGGAGGAGGGCAAGATGATGCACAGGCTGAAACATGAGCGGGTGATAAAGCTGCTGGGCATCATCATAGAGGAAGGCAACTACTGTCTTGTGATGGAGTACATGGAAAAGGGCAACCTGATGCACGTGCTGAAAGCTGAGGTACAGGGCCCTTTGCCACGCCTGGTACAGGCATGGTGACTTGGGTGCTCTTGTCTGTTAGGGTTATTGCTTCATGTTCTTTTGTAGCTTGTTGGTGTAAAATAATCCTTTTGTGAATTGCTAGATATTTTGGATTTTCTGGTCAATCCCTCATTAAGTCCTACCTGACTTTCCCTGCTCAGGGGGTGATCTTGCCCTTCTCTCAGTCGCTGTAGACAGTTTTCCATGTCCCTTTTTTCAGTTACTCTAAGATCCACAATTCAGAGACAGGCCCTGTCTTCATGAAGCACTTGGTCTGATGTGGGGTATATGCATAGTAGGTAACGATTAAATATTGACTGATTGATTAAAGAATGTATCCTATGAAGGCCTGTATGAGAAGAAGGAATATCAATGATTGCACACGATACCGTTTAAGAGAGGTGTAGCATAAATGTGCATACAATATTAGAGCCAACAACACTGGATAAGTGAGACTTAAAACAGGAAAATAAAAAGTTTACCAAACCAAATAACTCAAAAGCATTTTTAAGTTTATGTCTCTGTAAGGAGCAGACCTTGTGCTAGTTGCTTAGGAAGTAGCAAATATACAGACAAGTAAAGGGGTCACGTAGGTAAGGGAATGGTGTGCGAAGTTTTGATAAACAACCTCATCATGTGCTATGGGAACAGAGAGGAGAGGCACACACCCTAGCATGGGATAGATAGGAAATGATTCCGGAAGGAGGATGTTTGAGCCAAAATCTGAAGGACAAGTAGAGGTTTTGAAGCTGAGGATTAGGGAGGAAGTGTTCCAGGCAGAGAGAATGGCATATGCAAAAGAACAAGGGTGTGCCAAATTTGGGAAACTGCAAATAACTGGGTTTGGCAAAGCGTAGATTGCCTGTGGGAGTGGTGGGATATGACTGTCTTTAGTTCCCCTTTTTCTCATCTTCTCCCCTGACCTCACAGTTGCTGAAGCTGTATCAGCTCTTTTTTTAAGTCACAGACATCTCTCATAAATACCTGTGGGACAGATAAAAGATAGTCACTTGTACACAGTGTAGTATCATTTGATCAGATTGCCCTCGCCCTAAAACTAAATCAATTGCATGAACTAAGTAGACTTTCTGGGGATCAGGCAAAGATAAGGTGCACTAATTGGAGCTCAAGAAGAAAGCCAGGAGGATGGAGGGAGAGAAGCAGAAAGAGAAATGAGAAGAGGATCTACTTTGCTTGTTTGGAATGTTTTCCTAAGTCTTCAGATATACCATGGAAGATGGGAAAATCTCTGGCCATTTTTTGTATGGCAGCGATCAGTATAGATACTGTAGTTCAGCTACATTATGAGTCAGATATGGTTTGGGGGTTGACTTGGGAATCTGACTTCCATCATTTACATTTTTTTCCTGTTTACCAACAACCAACATACACATAAATTTTTAGGAAACAGCCTGTTTGTAAACTAGAGACTGTGTGTGCGTACACACAGAGTGAGAGTATGTTTTGATATTAAGCAAATCTAATGCTTAACTACTCTAACTAGAAACTGGAAATCTCTGTATGAACATAGATGTTCATATAACTAGAATCCAATTGTAAGACTGACCTGAGACTCTACAAAGACCTGAGGTACCTGATAACAAATCACAAAATAGATACTAAATTCATTTCAGAATTAACTACATTGTGTTATCTTGTAGATTAATCTTTACATGTTTCTAACCAGTGTGAGCACATTCCCTTGTATTCTTTCTTCTTTTAACATTATTTCATACACATAGTTCCATGACATTTTTCACATATTTAATACATAGTAGAACATCATATTAGTGTACCATAGAGAATGTCTGGGTTATTTTTTTGGTCTATGTATCCATTCATTCACCAAACATTCCAAGCATCATGCTAAGTAGTAAGCATACATCCTAAATTACAATGATGATGATGACTTGTTCTCAAGGAGCTTAATTGTTAGCATTTTTATATATTACCATATTGTCATGGAAGTTTTAGTTTTACATTGAAAAACACACCATTAATGCCCTTAGCACCTAGGATGAACTCTTTCCTCAAAAAGGGTCTTGACTTAGAATGTCAGCAGTGCTGCAGAGCAGGATAGAAGGCAACCTGGTAAGTATCCTAGGGTGCAGACCCCACTCTGGAATGAAACAGTTGTTTTGGCCTGTTTGATTACCATTCAGTTTCATAGGCTTAATGTTATTTGTTTTAGATCAGTATCCCCCTTTCTGTAAAAGGAAGGATAATTCTGGAGACAATTGAAGGAATGTGCTATTTACATGGAGAAGGTGTAATACACAAGGACCTGAAGCCTGAAAATATCCTGGTTGATAACGACTTTCACATTAAGGTAAACCACTAAACCGTAATCTAAAGGTTTGTAGAAGATTGAGGCAATTTTAGCTTTAATTCTTCACTGTAAATCCATTTTCATACATGGGGACTCTAAAGGAAGACCTAGCTCAGTTTCTAATTGGTGGTTGTGGTGCCCAAAGGCTCTACCAAGGGTTGAAAAGGAAGATACACATGGGATAAGAGTTTATAGTTTTTACGTATTCATTTACTTTCATCTGCATTTTTTAATCTTTCTTTTTGAAAACAAGGAAACAAAAGAAAGGGATTTTGTTGTTTTCCACTCAAGAGCAAGGTTTAACTAGGTGGGGCTGTCAAAACTGACTGGCTCTCGCAGCAGGAATCCTAGTGCCAAGGTGTGAAAGGGGAAGCAGCTGGGGGGGGGCGGGGGCGCAGGCCTCCGGGACTGCCTTCACGGGCGTCCGACTCTGCTGGAAGGCTCTGCCTCTAGCACTTCATTCTATTCCTGGACAGATTTTTATTCTTGTCTTAAAAAGAAGCTTCCTTCATTACATTAGTAGCGCATCTCTTAGAGTCTGTGGATTTTATATAACCACATGCCAAAATTTATCCCCAAATGCTTGGATTCCTAGAGGCAAAAGTGAAACTGTCACCTTTGATTTCTCCTTAACTGTTTTCTGTCATTTTCCCAGCCACTTCTCTCTGTGTTTTGTGTCTGACCTTCGTGTTTTTCTCTCTGCTTTTTGTCTGTTTTTCTCCTCCTCCCCGACCCATCTTTTCTTAGGTTCAGGCTACCAACTCAAAACAAGTAGCACCCCAGCCCTTGTCCTCAGTGTGGCTTTGGAATCCTTGGAAACTTACATCCATGGGCTTTTGGACATCATTTGGGAAAAAGAAGGTGCAGTACCTAGTCACTGTCTGCTATGCAAGTCAACTGAGAAGAAAATACTTCTTTTTTCCCTGGCTCCAGAAATAGCTGAAAAACATGCAGAGTTAATGAGCAATTAGAACACACCTTTTGTTGTTCATGTCAGAAATGCCTTCTGTTCTGCCTCCTTTCTTCCCCTCCCACCAACCCCTCCCGCAAATTTCCTGTGTTTTAAAAAATTACATAAGAATTGAGATTCCAGAATTTTACATAGACATTTCTTAGAGGAGGCTTTTTAGATGAATGGGGAAATACAAAGTTTCTAAGAGTGTTTAGAAGTAGCTGTTTTAACCCTATCCAGTGTGCCTTACATCTGTTGGATAAACCCCAAATTTAAAGACAAATCCGATTTGCATATAGCCCTCACAGAACAATCCTATTGGTTTTATTGCTTGCAGATAGCTGATCTAGGTGTTGCTTCCTTCAAGACATGGAGTAAGCTGACTAAAGAGGAACATAATGAGCAGCGAAAAGTGAATAGTCTCTCTAGGAAAAATGGCGGCACCCTCTACTACATGGCTCCTGAGCACCTGAATGACATCAATGCAAGGCCCTCGGAGAAGTCAGATGTGTACAGCTTTGCCATAGTACTTTGGGCAATATTTGCAAATAAGGAGCCATATGAAAGTAAGACACTTATAAAGAAGTGGGATTTGGGCGTTCATCAAAATTGTTAAACAAAATAATGATTTTCAATGAAGTCAGTTAAAATTTATAATTGTTTGTTCATTGAATGTCTGTCTTACCCACTAGACTATAAGCTCCATAGGGGCTGGGACCACATTTGGTTTATTCACTTCTGTTTCCCAAGTATCTACACACACAGTGCCAAGAACATAGCAGGTGCTCAATAAATTTTTATTGACTGAATAAGTAATCTCAGTTTAGGAATTGGGGGTCACAGGACAAATAGGAGCTTTGATGATGCATCTAAGCTTGGGAGGTGCTGTAAAATTTCAGGATTCTTCCTGGACAAGAAAGCTTGCTTGCTTATACTTATGAGGACTTACCCTTTTGTACTACAAAGCATACATGTCATACTTTGATCCATTCACTTACTCCTTCATTCAAGAATTATATCAGAACATGTATGGGCACTTTAATCAGAATTGGGAATGTAAACATGAGACAGACATGGTTCATGCAGGAGAACAGATACGTAAGTAGTCATTCTTCAGTCTGTTAAGTGCCTAAACTAATGGATGTTTTCCTATCCATTCTTATTTGGGTGATAATTAGCTCTCATTGTTTAATGATCACCTCTTTGCCCATGCCTCTCAGATCTTTTATCTCTAGCCCTGGCCTAGATACCCACTTGTCTGTTAGTCAGATCTATTACATGTACCAGAGGAACCCCAAACAACATCCCCCCAAACAAATTCATCCTCTGCCTTCTCTCCCTGTAGCCCACCCAGCTTTGCAGCTCTTTTTATGTTCAGTGATGGCATCGCCATCTTTCTGCAAATTTGTGCAACCAGAAACACTTGTCATCACAGACTCAGCCTTGTTCCTCATTTCCCACATCCAGTCAGATATTGAAGCCTACAAATTCAAAGTATACATATAATTCAAGATACATCTTGAATCATCCACTTCTGTCACCGCTGGACTTTATTTAGTCAAGCCCTCTGTATTTCCGCTCTATGCTCCTCGTATACATCCACTATTCATACTGCAGCCCAGCTGTCCTCCCAAAGGAAATATGGCCATCTCACTCATCTGTTTAAAATGTTTAAAATCTGTCCAAGACTGTCTGTGGCCTTAAGGATAAAGTTCAAATTCCTCAGTATGGACTGCAAGGCCCTATCTAATTTGGGTTTTGCTTCTTTCTCTATCCTTATGCCCTATCTCTCTTTCCTTAGTCAATGTGCTCAGTTACACCGAACATAATTTCTGGGATACATCATGATTTATGGAATCTCCAATCTATTTGTATCCTACTTCCCTAGCCCACATTCATCCCCAGAGTCCTTTTCCCCATTCCTTACTTGGATAACTCCTTATTTTTTTGGACTCAACAAAGCCTTCTCCGACCTTCTAGTAAAAGTCCTTATACTTCCTTCTTTTTTATTTTTTAAGATTTTATTTATTTATTTTTTATACAGGAAGGGAGAAAGAGAAGGAGAGAAAAATCGATGTGAGAGAGAAAACTCTATGGTTGCCTCTCATACACACCCTGACTGAGGACAGAACCCATAACCCAGGCATGTGCCTTGACTGGGAATCGAACTGGCAACCTTTTGCTTTGAGGGACAACGCCCAACCAACTAAGCCACACTGGTCAGGCCCCTTGTACTTACTTCTTGACTGTCACTCTACATTTTAAGTCACTTTCATTAATATTCCATTTGTTTTACCAGGAGGCAGCTTTCTTGTGAATTCTTTCATCTACAGAAATTAAAATATTTTATGGCTCCTTGCCACAGGGCCATTCTGCCCCAACCAGACAAGGCAGCTTTACTAAAAGCATATCCTAGGCAGAGAGACATTTGTGGCATTGTCCAAGTTCTGTCACCTCCCAGCCTGAGAGGAGCAGGATCTGAAAGAAAGTCTAAACTTAAGCTTCTCTTTGCTTTATAGATGCTATCTCTGAGCAGCAGTTGGTAATGTGCATTAAATCTGGGAACAGGCCAGATGAGGGGGACATCATTGAGTACTGCCCAAAGGAGATCATCAGCCTCATGAAGCAGTGCTGGGAAGCGGATCCAGATGTACGGCCAACGTTTGCTGGTAAGGGCATCTTTTATAACTGAGCACAGTCATCAGTGTGACCATTTTCTTAGTATCAGGAAGTTGCTTTGAATCTTCAGGAAATTGAGTTTCACTTTTGATTTCAAACTGCTTTTCTAGATTTTAAACATTTTCTTCAATGGAAAGATGCCATCCATGCCAAAAGCATGTTTTTTTTTTAAATTAACTTTTTAAAAACTGTTAAAATACACATAATACATATGAGGTCTGTCCAGAAAAAGTCTAGCCATTATTAATATAAAGAGAATTTTGCATGACATTGATGTAACCTGGCAGCCAGGGAAGGTGGCCTGGAATGCACATGCGTGAACAATAATGACTTGTACTAGTCACTGGGGGCAATAGACATCCTTTGAATGAGCATGTGTGGCGATTGCATTCAAAATGACTGAACAAGGAGAGCAATGATTCTGCATCAAATTTTGCATTAAGCTTGAACATTCTTCTGTGGAAGCTATTTGGATGATTCAGAAGGCTTCTGGAGACAATGTGGTGAGTGCAGCACAAATAAAAGTGTGAGACAAATGCTTCAAAGATGGTTGAAAATCTGTTGAAAGTGATCAGCATTCTGGAAGTCCTGCAACAAGAACACCTGTGTATGAGCTGCAATCAGCAAAGATGGGCAACTGGTAATGCAAGAACTAAAAGCTGATCTGAGGATTCCAAAAACTATGGAATCCTCATATGATGGTGTCCAAGGTTTTAATGCAGGATCTTGGCATGGAACGTGTCATGGCAAAATTCATTCTATGGCTTCTGCTGCCAGAGCAGAAGGAACATCAAGCTGCAGTTGCTAATGACTTGATTCAAAGTGCTACTAATGAACCACATTTCCTCAAGAAGGTCATAAGCAGAGATGAATTGTGGGTCTACGGCTATGATCCAGAAATGATCCCAATGGAAGTAGCCTGGTTCTCCATGACCAAAGAAGGTGTGGCAAAGTTGCAGGAGGATCAAGACCATGTTAACTGTGTTTTTTGATTAGGAAAACGTTATTCACCATGAGTATACCTCTCCAGTCCAAACAGTTAATAAGGAGTACTACTTCAATGTTCTTCATCAGTTGAGAGATGCAATACAACGAAAGTGGCCACAGCTATGGGCAACTGGTGATTGGCAGCTTCATCATGACAATGAACTGCTCATGCATCATGTCTCCTGCAGAGTTTCTTGGTGAAAAATCAAATCCCCCAGGTGACTTATCCCTGCTATGGCCCATATTGGGCACCCTGCGACTTCTGTCTTTTCCCAGAATTAAAATCACCTTTGAAAGGAAAGAGATTTCAGACTGCCAATGAGATTCAGGAAATATGACAGAGCAGCTGATGATTGGGAAAATTGTGTGAGGTCCCAAGGTGCCTACATTGAAGGAGACTGAGGCATCATTGTCCTATGTACAATATTTCTTGTATCTTGTACCTTCTTCAATAAACGTCTCTACTTTTCATCATGCATGGCTGGATACGTTATGAACAGACCTTTGTATATTACCATTTTAACCATGTTTAAGTGTACAGTTCAGTGGCATTCACACTATTGTGCAACCATCACCACCATCTATCTCCAGAACCTTTTCATCTTCCCCACTGAAACTGTACCCATTAAACACTAACTCCCCAGTGCTCTTCTCCCCCAGCCCTTAGCAACTATTATACTACTTTCTGTATATGAATTTGACTGCTCTGGGTACCTCATTATGAGAGGAGTCATTCAGTATTTGTCCTTTTATCGCTGGCTTAGTTCAAAGAGCATAGTAGCTTCAGGATTAATCTGCGCACATGTCAGGATTTTCTTTTTATTGCTGACTGTATGGAAATGCCACATTTTGTTTATCCATTCATCTGTCGAGGGATACAACTTGGGTTGCTTGCACTGGCCTTCTTGTTCCTTAGCTTCTTTTATTTCTTTTCCCTCCCCTTGTGTAGCTGGCATCTTTGGATATGTATATAGTCATTTAGATTGGGCCTGTAGTAGAGAAAGAAGGTAAGGATATGGGTTTGTCACATGCTTGCACCTCTTCCCATTCCCCTGTGTTACCAAGGATCTTGCTAGGATCCTAAAGGAAGAGGAAAGAAGAAAATCAGATGAAGAAAAAATAAATAGTGGAAAAGCACTTAGGAGCATGTAAAGCATTTTGCCCTCATATTTCTGCTATGAAAAAATAGAAATGAAGCTCCACCTACTACTTACCACCGAAGGATTAGAAGGATACTTTGATAATTGCCTATTTTCTTATTTGCTTAGTCAGCTTCAATATTCTCCTGGCAAGGTTTCCTTTCTCTCGCTTCTTTTTCACTTTTTTAAAAAATTGTATTTATTTATTTTTAGAAAGAGGGGGAGAGGGGAAGGGAGGGAGAAAGAGAGGGAGGGAAAAACGATGTGTGAAAGAAACATGGACTGGTTGCCTCTTACATGCCCCCAACTGGGGACCTGGTCCACAACCCAGGTGTGTGCCCTGACCAGGAATTGAACCAGCAACCTTTCATTTCACAGAATGGCACTCAATCCACTGTGCCACACCAGCCAGGGCTCTTTTTCACTTTTCCTTAATTGATGTTCTTATTCTGAGATAACTATAGATTTATATGCAGCTGTATTAAAAAGGATATAACTCTGGAACAGCCAAATGGAAGAGGCATAAAGCAAAATATTTGCGGGGTAAGGATACTTAAGAGCTTTGCCTTAACCTGTGGGTACCGCTCTTCCAGAACCTCAATATAGTCTCTGACCCAAAAGCACTCTAAACTCTGTTTAGAGATTTTCATGGAGGCTTCAATAGGCTAGGCCCAGTTGATTAAATCATTGATGACTGAACTCAATCTTCAGTCCTTCTTCCCTTCATGGAGGTCAGGAGGTAGTGCTGAAAGTTCCAACTCTGTAATTATGATGAGGCATTTCTGATGAGAGCTTCCATTCTGAAGCTATCTTCCCCCCCACACACCCACCTCTCCAGCCAGGGGCCATCTCTTTAGCAAATGTAGACATTTTTATCATTTAGGAGGTTCCAGGGATTTGGTGAACTCCCTGCCAAGAGCCAACAAGAGCTGGTGAAAAGACCAAATATGTGTTATTTTATCATATTGCACATTTTCTTGCTTCCTCCTTTCCAAGGTGTCTCCTTTTATCACTTTTTGTGTAGAGAACTTCCTTTAGCCATTCTTCTGTGCTATGTCTGCTGGAGAAAAATTCTCTTAGTTTTTCTTTGAGAATGTCTTGATCTCCCTTTCATTTCTGAAGGATATTTTTGCTGGGTGTAGAATTCTAGGTTGATGGCTCATTTTTCAGCACTTAAAAAATACTGTGCCACTTCCTCTGGCCTCCATGGCTTCAGCTGAGAAATCTTCTGTCATTCTTTTTTTCTTTGAAATTTTAATTTTTAACTTTTATTTTTTATTGTATTTTTTCCATTACCATTTAACCTCCTTATACTTCCCACCCCTGCGATCATAACACTGTTGTCCATGTCCATTAGTCCTTTCCTTTTTGCTCAATCCCCTCCACCTCCTACCCTCCTTCCCACAATTGCTGTCATTCTGCTCTCTTTCTATGAGTCTGTCTCTATTTTGCTTGTTAGTTCAGTTTGTTCATTAGATTCCACATATGAGTGAAATCATATGGTATTTGTCTTTCCATGACTGGCTTATTTCACTTAGCATAATGTTCTCCAGGTCCATCCATGCTGTTGCAAAGGGTAAAATTTTCTCCTTTCTTATGGCTGAATGGTATTCCATTGTGTGAGTGTTCCATAGTTGTTTTATCCACTCATCTACTTTGCCATTCCAATTGTGATTTTCCTTATAGGTATTTGTTTTCTCTGACCACTTTCAAGATTTTTATTTTCTCTTTATTTTGCAGAGGTTTAATTGTTATTTATCTTGGATTTTGGGGGGTTTATTCTGTTTGAATTTTAATCAGCTTTTCAAATCTATAGGTTTATGTCTCTTGCCAACTTAGAGTTCTTTTTTCCTTTCCTTCCAAGATTCTGATGACAGAAATACTACTACTTTTGTTATAGTCTCGCAAGTGCCTGATCCCTTACATTTTTTCTCTTAGTTTACTTCTCTCTCTTGATCAGACTGGGTCATTTTTATAGTTTGTCTTCCAATTCCCTGACTTTGCTCTCTTCCCTTCACGTTGAGCGCATCCACTAAGCTTTTAATTTTGGTTTACTGAATTTTTCAGTTAAGAAGTTTTATCAAAATTTCTTTTATATCTTCTATTTGTTTATTGATGCCTTCTGTTTTTTTTGTTTGTTTGTTTCAAGCTTGTTTGTAATTGATTATTAAAGCATTTTTATTGTGGCTGTTTAAAAGCCTTTGACAGGTAGTTCTAAAATCTCTGCCATCTCAGTGTTGGCATTTGATTGTCTTTTTTATTCGGTTTGAGATCTTCATGGTTCTTCGTATGATGAGTGGTTTTTCTATTGAAAGTTATGCTTTTTCTTACTATGGTATGAGATTCTGGATCTTCTTTCAGCCTTCAGTTTTATCTGACATGGTTTTGGCAGTGCAGTGGTTTTGCCACCCTGTAGTTCCATGTTGAGGGGAGTCTAGATTCTCCACTTAGCCCTGTTAACATCTGAGGTGTAGGGGGCTTCTTGTTACTACTGGTCAGGTGTGGAAGGTCCCACAGAGTCCACATGTTCTCCATGGACACTACAATGGAGGTGAAAGTCCTGACTCCCTCCTGTGCCTTGTCTGACACTTCCCCATTAGGATGGAGAAGGGGTTTTTTGTTACTGCAAGGTGAGGGTCAAGTCCAGTCTGCCATTGTAGTCCACTTACACCACAGGAGTGGAGGGCTCATTACCATCTGGCAGAAAGGAAAGTCCTGGCTTCCTATTTAGACCTTACTGACATCACTCTACTTGGCGTGTTAGGGCATCCTATTATTCTCTCATGAGGTTGAAGTCTCAGTTCACAGTCAGTCTTTGCTTAGGAGTGGGGATGGAGCAACAGTTTTTTTCTGTCCTTTAGTTGGAGTGTGGTTATTGCCTAAAGGTTTTCTGTCTTGCTAGGATGCCCCTTGCTTAGTCCTCTGGCTAGAAATTGCAGGCTTTTGCTGGATTTTTTTGGTGTCAAGTTGCCAGCTTCTTCAGGTCTAAGTCTGGACTCTTTGAGGCAAAAAAGAAATCCCAGTGAACTCATTTTCATGTTTTTTTTCGGACCACAAAGTCCCTAGCTGATCTGCCTTTGTCTCTCCTCCTTTCAGAGTCTTCTTATGTTTGTTTTATATAGAATAACTCAAGGTTTGTATTTTACTTAGAGGGAGAAATAAGAAAAAGTACATCTATTGCATCTTCCAGAAAGTGATAGTTGCTTTTTTTTCTTTTAAGGCCAACAGCTCTAACTCTTTATATGAAATCCTTATTATGAGTATTCCATCCTATGGTAAATCTGCCAGAGGGGAAAAAACAAAGAGTCCACCCACCCTTGTTCACTTGGAGGTTAACTCACATTAGATAGGGCTTTATGCTATGTAACCAGAGACACTACATGTTATTAGGCAGCAGCTCTTCATTTCCAATGTTATACTATCCCTTGTTCTGTCTACCAAGTTATTAATCTTGTTAGTCTTTTCCTGAAAGTCAGTGTTTTGGCATTTACAATGTATTTTACTGCTTTCCCACAGATTAAGGTAAGTAATTCAAAGACAATAGCTCACTTAATATTATTTTAGAAAATATTTAAGAAGTTTAAAGTATTGTTTTTCTTATATAGGCATTGAAGAAAAATTTAGACCTTTTTATTTACGTCATTTAAAAGAAGATGTAGAAGAGGATGTGAAGAGTTTAAAGGTAGGTAGCATAGCAGATGCTAAAAATGTGAACATATCAAAGTGTATATTTTGAATCATGAAAATAAAAGCAATATACTTTGTTACTGAGATTTGAGGTAAGTGAGCTTGGTAACCACATAAAACAAAATTAACAATTTTATGCAGATATCAACTTAGCATTCTGGACCCATTCCTCCTTCAAAACTAATGAAATAGAGAAAATATACATAGCAATATGAAAACAAAAGTGCAACTACTCTGGAATAAAATAGGAAGTGGATTAATCATTTTGAGGAATTCTTGAAAGATAGAAAAGCAACAGAATTATATTTGCTGAAACATATTACAGAAAAAGAAAAGCTAACCTAGAACTTAATGCTGAAGAAGAAATGGAGGAGCAAGTCTTAATATAAAGAAACATCATGGTCACCTGGGACACTGACAGGGACAGTTATTTGGGATCTGCAGTTATACCAGTCATTAAAGTTGGCTTCTCACCCTCATTCCCTTATGCTAAGCAAAAAATGGGAGCAGCGTCTGTTTTGATCTGAAGCAGTAGATTTGAAGTCTGGAGTGAGAAAGGTATGTCAAAGATTTTTACCAGTTAACCAACAAAGAGGAACAGAAACATAATAGCAGCCCAACACACACATTCAGGAAAAAAGCTGCTATTATAAGTCTTATAGCAACACGCTGATAGAATCATGAAAAGGAGACTAAAATAATTAAAATACTAAGGCAAACAGCAATTTTAAAGTACAAAAACAAAAGATAAGAAAACAACCTGGACAGTCAAGAATTGCCAAAAAATAAAAAATAAGAATAATAGTAATAATAATTGCCAGGCTCTTATACTTTAAAAGAGAGATCTAATGCAAGCCAAAAAAGCAATCAAAAGGACAACATGAAAGATAGCGACTAAGGCAGAAAAGCATTATCACAATAGTAATATTTCATGATGATAAAAGGTTCGATTCATCAGGATGATAATAATAACTTCAAATATGTATATTCTCATAAAAACAGGGCCTCAAAATACAGAAAGCAAAAATTGACAGAACTCAAGAAATAGACAAATCCACAATCATAGTTGGAGATACTAATATACACTTCCCTCTAATTGTCAGGAAAAAAATTGTCAGTAAGAATATAGAAAATTTGAACAACATAATTACCACATTTGACCTAATGGAAATATATAAAATAATGTATCTAATAAATGCAGAATACACCTGTTAAGGCTTTTCAAGAACATATGGAACACTCTCAAAAGGTGACAATGTGCTGGAAAATAAAAGAACTCTCAACCAGTTTGAGGATTGTAATCATGTAAAGAATGATTGCATTCTCTGACTACATTTTAGTTATGCTAGAAATTAATCTTAAAAGATAATTAGAAAATCCCATTGGTTTGAAGTTAAGAAATATATTTTTAAATACCATTTGGGTTAAAAAATAATGAAATTTAGATAATATTTGGAGCTAACAAAGCACTACATATTAAAGCTTGCAGAATTTGCAAAGGAGTACTTATTAGTAAAAATTGTCTATATACATGAAATGCTGAAAATTAATTAGCCAAGCATCCCTCTGGAGAAGATAGCAAAATAAACCTGGAGCAAATAGAGAACAGTAAATAATAAGACAAGAGCATAAATTATCTGGCCAAGATGGAGGCATAGGTAAGTACACTTTGCCTCCTCATACAACCAAAAGAAGGACAACAACAAATTTAAAAATAAAAACAACCAGAACTACCAGAAAATCAAACTGTATGGAAGTCCAACAATCAAGGAGTTAAAGAGGAAACATTCATCCAGACCAGTAGATGGGGTGGAGATGGGCAGCTGGAGTCGAGAGGATGTGTGGAAAGGTGATAGACCAGGCAGGCAAGGTGGTGGCTGGAGGACTGGACGGTCCCACATCTGCATGTGGAAAAATTGGGAGGAACAACTGGGGAGTGAGACAGACCACACAACCCAGGGTTCCAGCATGGGAAAAGAAAGCCTCAGAACCTCTAACTGTGAAAACCCGTGGGAGCTGTGATAGCAGGAGAAACTCCCAGCCTCAACAGGAAATTTTGTTGGAGAGACCCACAGGGTCCTAGAACATACACAAACCTACCCACCCAGGAACTAGCACCAGAAGGGCCCAATTTGCTTGTGGGTATAAGGAGAAGTGACTGAAAGCCACCCAAGAGCTGGCATTGTTCCCTTTCTGACAACTCCCCCGCATACAGCGCCACAGTGCCGCAAAGTGGGTTGACCTTCCCTGGTGAATACCTAAGACTCCGGCCCTTACAATGTTACAGGTGCACTGAGACAAAGAAATATGGCCCAAATGAAAGAACAGAGAAAAACTCAAGAAAAGACTAAGTGATGAAGAGATAGCTAACCTATCAAATGCAGAGTTCAAAGCACTGGTAATCAGAATGCTCACAGAAATGGTTGAGTATGGTCACAAAATAGAGGAAAAAGTGAAGGCTATGCAAAGTGAAATAAAAAAATACAGGGAACCAACAGTGAAGGGAAGGAAACTGGTACTCAAATCAACAAATAGGAGCATAGGGAAGAAATAAACATTCAACAGGAACAGAATGAAGAAACAATTCAAAAAATGAGGAGAGGCTTAGGAACCTCCGACACAACTTTAAATATTCCAACATCCGAATCATAGGGGTGCCAGAAGAAGAAGAGGAAGAGCAAGAAATTGAAAACTTGCTTGAAAAAATAATGAAAGAAAACTTCCCCAATTTGGTGAAGGAAATAGACACACAAGTCCAGGAAGCTCAGAGAGTCTAACAGAAGTTGGACCCAAGGAAGTACACACAAAGCACATCATAATTACATTACCCAAGATTAAAGATAAGGACAATCTTAAAAGCAGCAAGAGAAAAGGAGGGAGTTACCTACAAAGGAGTTCCCATAAGACTGTCAGCTGATTTCTCTAAAGAAACTTTATAGGCAAGAAGGGGCTGGAAAGTACTCAAAGTCATGAAATGCACGGTCCTACATCCAAGATTCCTCTATTCAGCAAAGCTATCATTTAGAATGGAAGGACAGATAAAGTGCTTCCCAGATAAGGTCAAGTTAAGGAGTTCATCATCACCAAGCCCTTATTATATGAAATGTTAAAGGGACTTATCTAAGAAGAAGATCAAAACTATGAAAAGTAAAATGACAGCAAACTCACAACTATCAACAACTGAACCTAAAAAACAAAAACAAAAACAGCCCTGGCTGGTGTGACTCAGTGGATTGAGTGCCAGCCTGTGAACCGAAAGGTCACCAGTTCAATTCCCAGTCAGAGCACACGCCTGGGTTGCAGGCCAGGTCCCCAGTTGGGGATGTGTGAGAGGCAACCGATTGATGTATATCTTGCACATTGATGTTTCTCTCCTCTTTCTCCCTCCCTTCCCCTCTCTCTAAAAATAAATAAGTAAAACCTTTAAAAAAAACAAAAACAAACTAAGCAAACAACTAGAACAGGAACAGAATCACAGAAATAGAGATCACATGGATGGTTATCAGCAGGGAGGGGAAAGGGGGAGAATGGAGAAAAAGGAACAGGGAATAAGAAACATAATTGGTAGGTACAAAATAGACAAGGGGAGGTTAAGAATAGTATAGGAAATAGAGGAGCCAAAGAACTTACAGGTACAACCTACGGACATGAACTAAGAGCCAGGGGGTGGGGAGGCGGGTGGGAGGGGTGCTGGAGGGAGGAGGGTGCAGGGTGGAGTGGGACAAAGGGGAGAAAAAAGTGGGAGAACTATAATAGGATAATCAATAAAATGTACTTTAAAAATAAAAGGCTTATCTTAAAAAAGCAACATACAAAATGCTACAAATCATGCACATAATTAATATTCTCTGTCATTCTCCTCCAAATCACTCATATGTTCATTCAGTGAATGTTTTTGACCACATACCTATGTAGCTTGTACTCTGTTAGGAGCAAAATGTAAATATGACTAGGAAAAAAACCCAAGGAAAATACCAAAATGTTAATTTTTTCCTTGGAGTGAAGGCACAATGTGTAAGTTTCTTTTTAAATATAATTCCCTACATTTTCTATAATGAATATTATGACTTTTATAGAAAAATTTTTTTATTGTGATGAGATACATACCATAAAATTTGCTACCTTAACCATTTTTAAATATGCAATTCACTGGCATTAAGTATATTCACAACGTGAAACTATCATCAATATCCATTTCCATTGTTTTTTATCCCAAACAGAAATTTCAACTCCACATTCATTTCTCTCCCCATCCCCTGGTAACCTCTGTTCTATTTTCTGTCTCTGTGTACCTCACAGACATGAGATCACACAGTATTTGTCTTTTTATGTCTAGTGTATTCACTTAGCACACCAGTTTTCATCCACTGTGCCACAGCACACTGGTGTGCCACAGAATTTTTAAAACATGCAATACCTGGCTAGTCAGAGGCACTGACCTCTTTTCCCTTAGATTGTCAAATTAGAAAATGGCAAGAGCCAACACAACAATAGCCATCAGTGTGAATAAATCAAAATTATACCTGTTTTTTTTTTATCAGATCAGCAAAATATTTTTGGTGTGCTGCAAAATTTTGGTAATTAGTTTGTGTGCCATGAGATGAAAGAGGTTGAAAATCACTGACTTAGCATAATGTCTTCAAGGTTTACCCATTCTGTAGGTTGTACCAGAACTTCCTCTTTAAAGCTGAATTATATTCTGTTGTATGTACATATTACATTTTCTTTATTCATCCATCTATTGATGGATACTTGGGTTTCCACTTTTTATCTATAATGAATAAGGCTGCTATTGGTATACAAGTATTTTTTTGAGTCCCTGCTTTCACTTCTCTCACATATATACCTAGGAGTAGAACTGGTGGATTGTATGATAATTCTATGTTTAACTTTTTGAGGAACCATCAGACTGTTTTCCATAATGGCCGCACCATTTTATACTCCTATCAGCAATGCAGAAGTGTTTCAATTTCTGTGTTCTCACCAACACTTTCTATATTCTGGGTTTTGGTTTTGTTTTGTTTTTATTTTTTAAATAATGGCCATTCTAAGGAGTATGAAGTCATGTACATCTCATAGTGGATTTGATTTGCGTTTTCCTAATAACTAATGAAATTGAGAGTCTTTTCCTGTACTTATTGGTCATTTGTATATCTTTTTTGGAGAAGTGTCTTTTTAAGTTCTTTCCCCATTTTTGCATTGGGTTGTTCTGTTGCTGTTTTGTCAAATTATGTAAATTCTTTAAATATCTAGGTATTCATTCCTTAACAGATATATATGATTTGCAAATATTTTTTTCCTATTCAGTGAATTCTTTTCTTTACTCTTGTAATAGTGTCTTTTAATACACAGAAGGCTTTAATTTTGATGTAGACAAATCTATTTTTATTTTGTTGGTTATGCTTTTAGTGCCATATCCAAGAAATCATTGTCAAATCCAATGTCCTGAAGTTATATAGTTTTAGCTCTTAAGCTTAGGTCTTTGATCCATTTTGAGTTAATTTTTATGTATATTTAAAGGTAAGGATCTAACTTCATTCTTTCACACGTGGATATTGTTTCCCCCATTGAAAGGTCTTGGCACCCTTGTCCAAAATTAATTGACCATATATGCATGGGTTTATTTCTGGGTTCTTCAATATGTTTTGTTGGTCTATATGTCTGTCCTTAGGCTATACCACACTGTAGCTTTGTAGTGAGTTTTGAAATAAGAAAGTTTGAATCTTCCAACTTTGTGCTTTTTAAAGATTGTTTTGGCTATTTGGGAAAAACATTTGTTTTTAATATTTACTGAACATAAGAGCTATGTGAAATTTCTACCTTCTGAAAAGATTCATTATTATTATAATAATCTTCTGGAACTTACTTTTTTCTGATTTTTACTGAAGTATGTATTTTGTTCTTTATTATAGAAAGAATATCCTGGCCAAAATGAAATTGTGAAGAGAATGCAGTCTCTCCAAATGGATTGTGTAGCAATACCTCCAAGCAGGTCAAATTCAGGTAACTTATACTATGATTAGAAATCAGTGTATTCACTTATTTGTTTGCTCATTCATGCACTCTACTTTAAAACACTAATCACAACCATATGAGAAACAGAAGAAGCTATAAAACTTAACACCTAGCTTAAAAGAACTTATAATATATTCAATAGTTAAGATATCTATATTTAAAATGTTAAGTAACATTGAATTCACCAAAATGATAAAGTATCCTGAACATAAGAGTCCTAATATATCTGATACGGGGAAAGTGATTGTTCTGGAAAAAGAAGGGGATATATGTAGGAGTAAATCCTTGAGAAGGTCAGGGATGACGAGGTCCAGCATATAAGCAGAGAGGTTGGTCTCACTTTCAAGCAGGGATACTTTTTTCCTTACAACAAAAGGGAGGGCAGAGTACAGAATTTTACTTGGTCACTTATTAACTGTTTATTCTGGGGCAAATTACTTAACCTCTTAAACCTCATCCATCATATCATGATAATGCTCCTACTCTTATAGGGCTTTTAAAGAATGAAAGAATCTATGGAAAGTGATTAGCATAGAGCCACTGCTGTTATTTTCCAACCCTGCATCAACCAAGGAGAAACCACCTTCTCTGCTGCATCACAAGTCCCTTTCTTCCTTGGTCATTCCTGCAACACCCACTCTTCTGTTGCTTCTTACGACTTCCCTAGTGCTCTCTCATTGCCAGGCAGGGGCTCCTGCTTAATATGTATAAAAGAAGAGGGCCATCTAGTACATGCTTTTTTGCTTGTTCTCAAAGTTTACAGTATATTACTCTGAGGTACCTCATGGAGCTCAGGTTTCATTTTACTTTTTAATGTTTCATGAAACTCCAATGTTGATCATTTCTTCTCAGCCACAGAACAGCCCAGTTCTCTGCATAGTTCACAGGGACTCGGGATGGGTCCAGTGGAAGAGTCCTGGTTTGCTCCATCTCCAGAGTACCAGCAAGAGGAGAATGACCTCAGACTGCAGAGTAAACTCCAAGAGGAAGCCAATTACCATCTTTTTGGCAGCCGCATGGACAAGCAAACAAAACAGCAACCCAGGCAAAATGTGGGTTACAATAGAGAGGAGGAAAGGAGACGAAGGGTCTCCCATGACCCTTTTGCACAGCCAAAACTGTATCAGAACCCAGGGGTAAAAGGCCTTGCTTCTTCCAATGCAACCAGTCATGGTAATGAAGTACACCAACCAGTTGGACTGACCAGCCAACCTCAAGGACTACATTGGAACAATGGATCATATAATCCACATGGTTTTAGAACAACACCATTGGATCTGGGAACAGCAGGTCCCAGAATTTGTTATGGGCGAAATGCAAGCCATATACCAAGCCTGCATAAAACTCCAGTGCCTGAGACCAACCTACTGGAAAACACACCCACCATCCCATTTGTCTCCCTGACATCAAGAGGTAAACAGGAGGTCTAATCTTATCTTTTTTTTTTTTTCCTGCAAATAAAACACTGTCAGCTCTATTGTAGACTGTAAGGTAACAAAGGCCAAGTTCAGAGTCTTCAGCTATCAGATGCAACTTGCCACCATGGAATAGTCTCCATCAGATCACTTGACATGAGCATATTTCAGTTTGGTTAGGTTTCAGTGCAGCTGTCTATTAAGTGCTGGTTTATAGGTTTTTGTAATTGGTAGGCATCTCCTACTCTATCCTGAATGATAGTCCCATTATACCCAATCTCTGAGGCAAGTGAAGGTATCTGCTTTATTCTTTTATTTGCTTGCTATTTTATGAAGATAAGAAGTAAGTCTTGAATATTTTTATTTCTTATATAGGACAAAACTACCATTTGTGATGAAAACCACATTTTTGGGCTACCTTCACCGTCATACATTTTCAGAACTCTTTTCATCTTCTCAGGCTGAAACTCTGTACTCATCAGACAATAAATCCCCATTCTCCTTTCTCCTCTCAGGCCCTGGCAACCAACCTTCTACCTTTTATGTCTATGAATTTAATCACTGTAGGTACCTCATATAAGTGGAATCATACACAACATATCCTTACTTTACTTAGCACAATGTCCTAAAGGTTCATGTAGCACATGTCAGAATTTTCTTCCTTTTTAAGGCTGAATAATATTCCATGGTATGTATACACCAACATTTTGTGTATCCATTCACCTATTGATGGACACTTGATTGGCTTCCACTTTTTGGCTGTTGTGAATAATGCTGCATGGGGGTATAAATACCTATTTGTGACCCTGCTTTCAGTTCTTTGGGATATATACTTAGAAGTGGAATTGCTGGATCATATGATCGTATTGGGTTGACACTCTAACCAACTGAGCAACCCAGACAGGGCTTATCTTACTTTCAATTTAGATGTATTTACCTGTGTGCTTCTCTCTATTCAGGTGAGTCTATAAAATATTCCATATTCAACAGTACTGGCATTCAGATTGGAGACAAGAATTATATGGAGGTTGGAATGAGTTCGCCGTTACAGGACAACATGTACACGAACTTGAAAGAGCCAGCTTTTATATACCTAGATATGTTTGGTAAGATGCCCTTTAAGGGCCCATTATCTAACAGCCTTCAACTTTCTTACTTGTTGAGAGGGATGTAATGGAATCCGAAAATTTCTGATTATTCTCCCTGAAGGTTCTCCCATGTTTCCTCTGTAAAATATCTGTGTAATTACCATGTAATTTCTTTATGTTTAATATGGGGAAATTTATAATATATAATTCATGAATTTTGTGAAAATTAAATGAGTCAATATGTATAAAGAGCTCAGAATACTGCCTGGCACATAGTAAGATCTAGAAACATGTTAAATTATCATAATCATCATCATTAATATTACTACTCAGACCTAGGAGAGAGAGCTCCTCCAGGTCCTCATCAAAAGGGGTTTTGTAAACTATAGGAGACTGCCTTCGATGGCACCTCTGTAATGAAAATGAAGACTTTCTCTTGTAGGCTTCCACTATGCAGGCTCCTAATATTAATCTCAAAACAGAACCAGGGAAAAGCAGTCATGAGGCCAAAACAAAGCGATTTAAGAACGTAGCTTTCTGATTAACCCTAGGACTGGCAAATTTTTTATATTAAGGTCTAAATAGTAAGTATCTTAGGCTTCAGAGGCCTTGAGGTCTCTGTTGCAACTACTCAACTCACATTGTAGTGCAATAGCGACCACACACAATATGTACACAGCTGGCTGTGCTCCAGTAAAACTTTGTTTACAGGAACAGGCAGCAGGCCAGCTTTGATCCATAGGCTGTAGTTTGCCAATCCCTGATCTAGTCCCTTTGAACGACAGTCTTTAAAATACCTGGAGCAGAGGTTCCTAAATGTGGGGGAGACAAGGGTATCTTTGATAATCTGATGAAACCCAAGGTTTCCTCTCCCAAAGAGGTATTGACAAAATTTGACAAATATCTTGGGAGGTTTTTGGACTAGTGACATCCAATAATGATGATAAAAGCTGCGCTGTGGGGAGCTAAGGAAAGAATGTGAATTAAGGGGCAAAAATGAGATGCCTTTTCCTTTATATTCGACTTACTGAGGTAGGATGAGGATCACGGGATATACTTTCTGGTGGTTATTTTATACTTTTGTTTCCTTTTGTCATTTTTGTGAAGGCCTAAGGGGGAGGAACCAGTAGAGAGAGGTTACGGCTGTAGGAGAAGAGAAGACATCATTTGGGGCAAGGGAGGGATGAATCCAGAAATAGACCTTTGAACAGTACAGATGCCTCATCCCTTAAAAGGCAGGGAAGGCATTTTAATTGAATAGGTAGGTTCGCACTTGATGGTCTCAGTTTCCTTGATTAAGTAAGGTAGAAGTGAACTGTTGGGAGAAGGGGTCAGGTGTTGAGTGACCTTAATTCTGGCCTTATGTAAGTAGAAAATGCCCAAAAGGAAAAAAAAATGGTGTTTTTTTCCTCTTCACATTAGAAAGCTCTACTATAAATAGAGCTGTTGGCTAAGGTTGTATAAAATAGCCTAATAGCTGGGCAGGGGTTTTAATCCCAAAGCTATCAGCTGTAGCCCAGAGATGTATCTGCTAGGAGGAAGAGCTCCCCTATTCTAATTTACAAAAACTCCTCCAATGGGCTAGTTGACTCATCGCTCAATGAGTCAACAGCTATGTAATTAAGAAGTTATCTTTTCTACTGTACTCTAGGTACTCTTCACTTTATACAGGTTTTTGAAAGTAGGATGTTCAAATGGGTTGCAGCTTGATGACTTCTTCTCTTTTCTTTTTGGCAGATAATACCACTAGTCTGACTGATAAACACCTCGACCCAGTCAGGGAAAATCTAGGAAAGAGCTGGAAAAGCTGTGCTCGTAAACTGGGCTTCACTGAATCTCACATTGATGAAATTGACCATGACTATGAGCGAGATGGATTAAAAGAAAAGGTTTACCAAATGCTTCAAAAGTGGCTGATGAGGGAAGGCAATAAGGGGGCCACAGTGGGAAAGCTGGCCTATGCACTCTATCAGTGTTCAAGACTGGACCTCCTGAACACTTTGAAATGTATCAGCCAGAACTAGCTCTAGAAGGAGCTTTGGCAGCATGAAATAAACTCCTCACTTAGTGAGTAATCCACTGAAAGTGTGCTGCTTCAGATCATCCAGAATTCTTTGCTCACAGATACGGGTCCTGTGTCTATATGCATAAAGATCATTTTCTGCATTTCGCAGCTGGACAGTGGGAAGGAAATCTACAGCAAACAACCCACTAAACAGATAGACTTATTAATGGCCAAGCCTCAATGAAAAAAAGAAGCCTAAGTGGGTTTGAAAATGGAAAGAAAAAATATTTGAAAAAGATCATTTTCTTTTACTTTATCCCATAACCTTCAGTTCTGCTGTTCATTCAGTTTCTTGGAATTTTGTTTGAGCAACAAAAGAAAATTCAGAGAATGTAACTTCCTTATTTTGTGCTCTTTTTTCCACATAGGCTCCTGTTATAACCAAAGTACAGAAAAATTCTAAATTCTCTTCAAATATTTTGGTGTTTTTTGGTATCACAGCCACAGTTCATTCCAAATTTATAGGGTCTGTTAACATCAGTATCAAATTCTGTATCAGTCATTATAGGCTTCAAGAATTGAATGCAACCTCCACTCCACAAATTAACCGAAGGGATTTTATGGTGTACCAAGAAGAGGAAAAAAACAGATAAAAATATCACTTTCCCACGCAGCTGTTGCAAGAAATTGCTACTAATTGTGACAGTCACAAAAATTCTTGATTAAGTTTTTGAAATCTTCCCTAGCATTCTGGCACTTAAGGCACTTTCCCAACCTGTGTGCTTTGAAGAGGGAGCAGGTAGGTGGGGAATATTATCTTGGCTATGACTGGAGCCTCAGGGCTGATCACTGTTAAACATCTCTCCAGTTTACCCTCAGGGTGCTGTAGAAATATTTTCTCTTTTTTCTGTGAGCTATAATGTGAAAAAAAAGGACAGCTTCAGAGTCTGATAATTGTGACTTTAGCACTCAGCCTTTCAAAGCCCACATGAAACTCAGGAACAAATGGAGAAACTCGAAGACTGAAGCCAGCTGGGCCATCCAGCATCACTGCCAGCCCTTGCGAGCAGGGACGCCACTGAGGGAAGGAGAGTGGTGCAGTGTGGTCAGCCTGGCTGTCCAAATGGATTCTAGTGTCGGGTGGGCTGATAATAGAATTGTTGGTTCTCGTTCTAAATCTCCTCCAGCCCAACCCAGCAGATAAACACACACACACACCTGACGTGGGGCCATCAAGCAGAACTCAGCCCCAGCACTACTGGCATCTTGGGCTGGATAATACTTTGTTGTGGGGGACTGCCCTGTGCATTGTTGGATGTTTGGAAATAACCCTGGCCTCTAGCCAGGAGATGCCAGTAGCACTGTTCCCCTCTTCCCATCTCCAGTTGTTACAAAGTTATTTCTAGGCATTGCCAGATGTTCCCTAGGAAAGCCAAATTGCGCACCCCCCCCCCCTCCGCCCCGTTGAGAAGAGCTCTGTTAAAAAAGTAATGAACCTCAGTTTTGTTACCAGCCCATACACAGGCTCACTACTTAGTTGCCAAACAGTGTTCATCAAAAAGACCAAAAGAAAGACTGGAGGTGGAAAGGGTCCCAGGCCTTATTAGTGGGGGCTGGATGACTTATTTTCTAAATGTATTCTGTGTACCTTGTCTTAACAGTGTTCTAAAATCTTTAACTTCCAAAGAGATTAAATGATCAATGATGACTGGCAAAAATGAAAAGTATTTTGACTTTTTAAAAATAAAATTTTGTACCTTAAATATAAATTATTGAAATGATGTGTTTGTATAAATGAGACAGTTTAGGGTTCTCCACTGTGACTTTACCACTTTGGTTGGCAGTTCCTATCCATAATCCTCTTTTCACTGCCTGCTATTGGCAGAAGAGAAAAAGCAGATGGTAAAAAGAGGAGAAGCGTCTTGACCAGAGCATTTTGTCTCTCAGTAGAAAAGCTCGCTGCACTGAGAGCCTGCAGTACTGCTGTCCTTCCGATGTGGCTCAGAGGCCTTTGCTTCAGCCCTGACACTCTAAAAACTGAGCTGAGAACAGTCGGATTTGTATCTGAGGAGTTTCAGGACAAGGCTCAGGCACTGCAAAAACACTAGTCTTCAGCAGAAACCAACTGAGTTGACACAGACTACAAAATGAAAAAGAAGACTATCCATACTTGGTTCCAAAAGAGATCATTAGATCCTAAGGTTACCGCTGGTAAATAGGACACACTTCCAGCTCAGTCTTACTCTGCAGATTACCCACTTCTTGTTATGGTCATAATCTTTGCTTTGGGTCCAGGTATGAAGTTGGGTCTTCAAAAAAAACTTTTTTACAAAATGTTTTAAATAGTATTTTGCTGAACATTTTAATGTGTGTTATTTATAGAGAACAGTTTTTCTAATATTAAAAATCAAGTGTTTATATGGTGATTGCATAGGCTTCTGACAACAAATCATCGAAGGGCAATGCTACTACAGTGAATTTTATAATATGTAGTAATCCACATACAGGATCAAGCAGACTTAAATTCCCCTCTGCCATTCTTTAGCTGTATACCTAGGGCCTGCTTCCTAACCTCTCTTAGCCTTAGTTTCCTCATCTATAAATAGAAAAGGCAAAGTACATATGGTTGGTGTAAGAAATAAAATAAAATAATGCATCATAAGGTGCCTGGTGCAAAAATAGTAGCTACTTTTTTAAACTGCACACTTGCATTTTACATAAAAGACTAGTTCTAAAATGTGTACTTCAAATTGTGGTATCTCATAGTGCTACCATTTTGCTTACCAGTAGGATGTGTTAAAATTGTGGACAATTATTTTTAACCCTTGTCATCTGTGAAAAGAAATTCCAATCAACATCTCAGGAAAAAATAAAAAAATGTTGGCCCACCAAAGATTTGTGAAATTCAAATGACAGTAGTCAGCTGAAATATATATATATTTTTTCTATGCAGGAAATTTGATATGACGGATTTATGTTGAATGTAGAACATAAATATTTCTGTATATTCCATACTTAAGCCAAACCTGCCTTTATTACTCAAGAAATTCCAGTGGGTCAGTAAGGATACTGCACGTAATGAAACTTTCATGGCTGTAACATTTAAAAACACTGTGGGTCTCCTGGAGGAAAAATAATGTAATAAGCAAGGAAGCTGTTGTCATCTTGACTAATTCAAGCCAACACTCTGCAAATTATTGCCAGTTAAGGGAAGGTGTAATGGTAGTCAGAATTAAAGGGGTATTGTCTTTCTCCACTGAATCTTCAAGTCCAGGTGTTTATAACCTTTTTAAAGCTTGAATTATATGGTCTTGAAAAAATATTTTAGCATAGCAAAATACACATGCGTAAATTTACCATCTTAACCATTTTCAAGTGTACAGCTCAGTGGCATTAAGTATGTTCACACGGTGCTACCATCACCACCATCCGAATCTGTCCCTATCAAACACAAACTACCTCTCTCCCCTCAGTCCCTGACAACCACCATTCTACTTTCTATCTTTATGAGTTTGTCACCTCTGGGTACCTTATGTAGTGGAATCATCCAGTAATTGTCCTTTTGTGATTGGCTTATCCACTGAGCACCATGTCCCCAAGTTTCAGAATTTCCTTTTTAAGGCAAAACAATATTCTATTATATGTATACACATTTTATTTATACCTTCATTCATTGAGAGACAGTTGGGTTACTTCCATTTTTTGGCTATTGTAAATAATGTGCTATGAACTGGGTGTATTAATACTAGTTTGAGACCCTGATTTCCATTCTTTGAGTTATATGCCCAGAAGTGGAATTGTCCAGTAGTTCCATGTTGAATTTTTTGATGAATGGACATACTATTTTCCATAGCCACTGTACCACTTTACATTCCCAACAACACACATGGTTCAGGGTTCCAATTTCTCCATATCCTCCCTAACACATTAATTTCTGGGTTTGTTTTGTTTTTTTTTAATCTTCACCCAAGGTCATGCTTACTGATTTTAGTGAGAGAGTAAGAGAGGGAGAGAGAGAGGGGCAGAAACATCTATCAGTTGTCTCTTTATCCATTGGTTGCCTCTCATTGGTACCCCCACTGGTATACACACCTAGGCATGTGCCCAGACTGACACCTTTCGGTTTATGGGGGGAATGTTCCAACCAACTGAGCCACACCAGCCAGGGCTGGTTTGTTGTTTGTTTTTTAATAGCCATTCTAATGAATGTGAGGTGGTATGTGTGGAGAGCAGGACCAATAAAATGGCATTAGGCTGATCAAAATAGCATAAAGTACATAGAGCAAAATGTAGTCACTTATGTCAATCAAAATGGCTGTCAGTCAGCCATGACACTTTGGTTCAAGAGGGAAACTATGTAAGTCAGAGCAGACATGTCTGGCAAAGAGACACACATAAGATATCTGCACATGTGATCAGAATAGTCATGTCTACAGAGTGGGACCACCCATAGATGTGCTCCTGGGGAAATTCCACAATTGGCATCAGGGGTGCCAAGACGTTTGTAAAGAAGACCCAGAAGGATGGAGTACATCACGTTCAAGGTATAACTGAGGCAGATTCCAGACCAATGCAGGGACAGCCAAGTTCCACACACCAGGGTGTTGCTCCGCGCCACGCTGATCTCCCTTGGCATCAGCTGCCAGAGGCTCTGCCCTGCAGGACTGGGAACGTCTGTCCTGCTGCCCACCTGGCTCTGGAGATCGTTCCTTGCAAGACGCTGACAACTCCCTTGCCCACTGTGCTGTCTCCCGGACCTGCAGACTGAGACTCTGGGGCTCGGGCTCATTATCCCCCATTGATTGCTTGTGTATTTGTTACATTTCTCTTAAGATTGTTGGTGTGAGTGGGATATTAATGTTGATGTTTTACTTTGAGTAAACCTGCACTCAATAAAAGCTGAGTGAATAGCATAGTTACTGTGCGTGACTCCTGTCTATGCCTTAGTGCTGGGCCGTTCGGCCGGTAGAGAGCTGAGCAGCTGCCTGGCTGACTTAGAGGAAATAATATATCCAACTAACTTAACGCTCCTGATAGTATGAGGAACAAAAATGTTTTAATTCTCGTATCAAGAAGCAAATACACTTCACCCCACCTTCACAGCCAGGCTCAGAGACCCCTCCTCCACTTACTAGCACACTGGGTGAGGGTTGAAGTGGTGGGGTTTTCCCGCCTCACTGCCGGTCGGGTTACTCCGCAAAGCGCAGGGGCGGGCAGACCCAATGGGGATGGGCCCTCTGCAGCTAGAGCTAGCACCCAAGAGAATAGGATCTGTGTCCTAGGTACCCGAGGGACCGCAAGCCCCTACTTGTCAGGGACCTGCGAGAACCCAGCGAGCGAGGAGACGAGGGGGCGGGGGGCGGGGGGCGGAGTAGGGCGGCTGGCGAAAGCAAAGCCAGACGCAAGCCTGCCACCGGCGGCCGGGGCGGGGCGCGGCGCTGCCCGGCCGGCCCTAGCGCATGCGCGTTTCCTGGCCAGCGGGGTAGGCTGTGGGTGCCCGAGGACCGTAGGGCTCCACATAAGCGCTCCCCAGCGTTGGTGCCACCTGAGGCCACAGCGATGGCGATGGCGCTGGGCAGCTGGGGTGCCCTCCGTCTGCGGCTCCATCTCTCAGCTCTGAAGTCCGATATCTACGTTCCCCTGACCTACTGGAAAGCCTCCTTCGGGTAATGGCGCCTACGCCCCTGCGGGAGCTCCCGTGACCCGGTTCCCGCGCTGGGGGCGGGGGTTGGGGGTGGAGAGGACTCTGTGGGAAAGGCACGAGCTGGCTGGGGGATCGGGCGCAGGGGGTGTGGTGCAGCTGACTTCCCCTCTGCTGACTTGGCCTTAGCACTGGAGCAGTGCAGGGCCTTCCGTTCTGGGATTCTGGAACCTTGAAGGATGCAGTGGTAGAGCCCAACCCCTTCGTTATGCAGACCAAAGATGAGACAGGTAGTAAGCCAGGACAAATAGAACAGGGAAACTGTGACGCTTACCCAAACAGCCAAGCATTTTATACCAAAGTAGATCACAAAATCCTATCTTCTGTAACCAAGAACACTTAAGCATAAATGATTTACACTTCTCCCCAACCAGAGGGTAAATAGCTTAAATCACCCTAGTCCGGGAAATAATAGCAGAAATCCAGTTAGTGCCATTTGTGCCAACCACACTCAAAGACAGATGAAGTTGAGGGAATAAATCTCATTTTGGCACATCAGCATAAAACTGATGGATATTCTATTGAGATCCTTCCTTAAGACCCCCTCTAAACTCCCAGTCTTTAAAAATCCTTTAAAATGAAGGTCCCAACATGCTCTTCCTCCCTGGAGTACATCTGCACCTTCCCTTTCCTCCTCCTCTTCCCCAACAGGCACAGGCATCTTCTAAACCCTAAGGGACCCCAGTGAGACTTGCAACCTGGGAGCAATGGTCAGCAGCAGCTCCTCCAGGGCTAACCCCCTGAACCTGTGTCCAAAGCCCCCTTTGTCCCTGACTTTCTAGAAAGCCAAAGCCACCCAGCCTAGGCTGTCCTGTTACTTCTATCCTAAACCCTTCCTTGTGTCAGTGTCCCCAGCTTCCATAAATACACTGTCAGAATCACCTGGACTTGTGAAACCTTTACTGCACAAAGTCAAGAAGCCATGGGCTGCAGGCAGGACCGAGGCAGACCCACTCGGGGCCAGGTCCCCTTTCCAGTAACAAAGGGAGCCAGGGAGGAAATATAACTTGTTTAGTCACAGACAGGCTCTTGACAGAGGTTACAACCTCAAACCCCTTCCTTCGTCTCTTACTCTGTCCAGTCTTTTAAGAGGCAATAATCTCTCATGTTTCGTTTGCCAAAAACCAATCTGAGAATGTCTGTGACCTGTTAGCTTTCAGAATCACGGGCCCAAGTCCCTGAGTCTTCTCTTTGCTGACCTCATGCAGGAGAATCTCCTTAGGAACTGAGAAAATGCAAATTCCTGGGCCTGACTCCCAGAGGTTCTGATGTTGGCCTGTCGAGATGCCCAAGGATATATACCTCTCTCTTTTTTAACATCCCTGCCCCCACATACACACATTTTGAGATAAACCAATACCCAAAAAACAAATCAAAACTCAATCTCTGACTTGCTGTCATAAAAATGGGTGACCTGGGTCCCAAGAGATACTAGGCAGAAAATGTGGGTAAACAAGAAGCTTACTTTACTTTATTCCTCCATACCTACCTACATTCTCTCCCTCCCTCCCTCCCTCCCTCCCTCCCTCCCTCCCTCTCTCTCTCTCTCTCTCTCTGTCACACACACACACACACACACACAGAGTGTATATGGGCAAGTTCCATTCGTGACTAGGAAGAAAATTCAAGTCCTAGATAGGTACCTGGCATTTAGAACTTCACTTTATGTAATGTGGAAACTTCTCATTTGAAAACCTTTTTGGAAGGAGAAAGGAGGAAAAATCTGACTGGTTTTACATTTTTCCTGTTGTGATTGACTAGGAGCTTCATAATTGATTTAGGTTCTTTTTATTATTTTAGATATTTTAGAAGGTTTTTAGAACTGTTTTGATACAGATGGGAAAATATGTCAATGTCTTCGGCAATTTAAATTAACACTGAAAAATGGCGATTAATCCTATTTACTGTTTGCAGAAAGGGATTGAAATAAAGTTACTGTGAGTTTACCAATATCAAAGTTATGATAGGTTATTTAAAGGTTGCAGATAGGAAGGCCAATCCATTAGCACTGCAAATCATTCTTCTGAAACCATGTCTGAAAAACAAGTTTCTCTGGAATTTGAACTGCCATTTTATAAATGTGGTTACAAATTAATATGACATGTAATCACGGAAAACAAGCAATGGTATTGGTTAATCCTGTAACAAGGCGGCAGCCTGGTATAAGTAGGTAAAAGCACTCCTGAAACAGCCAGTGCCCAACCTGCGATTGAGTGGTGTTCCAAAAATTTGTCTTAAGTCTGTTTTTTTGAATGCTGGCTCCTTTCTTATTTTATAATCTATAAAGTGGTTTGTCCCAGGGTCAGATTAAAAAAAGCCTTTTTTACCTAGAATTGTATGTTACATACAGTTGCAATATTAATACTTTACAGAACCCAAAAACCTGCCTGGAGGAAAATGTTTTGCAAGTTCACACTCAGGATGTTTTGCCAGAAATCCAGAGACTCTCCCTCCCATGGCGCCTGCCACCGCCATTGGCCTGGCAGTCATAAGAGTGAGTGTGGCCCCACTGCTGGAGCCCTCTTCAGCTGCGAGGTTACAGATAGGGCCTCTGGCATTCAAATGACTGCATTACCACTTCTGGCTGCATTAACATAAGCAAGTTATTGGGTTGGCAAAAAAAGTTTATCTGGCTTTCTTCCATAAGATAGCTCTTGTAGCACTTAGTTGTCTTTAACTTCATTTGAAACAATTTTGTTAGATTGTATTGTGGCAGCTGTCATATCAACATGCATTCAAAAAAACTTATCAAAATCAGTGAATTTTTGTGTAACCATTTATTGTTGAAAATGGAAGAAACTAGGCAACATTTTTGGCATATTATGCTTTATTATTTCAAGAAAGGTAAAAGTGCAAAAAAAATTTATGCAGTGTATGAAGAAGGTGCTGTGACTGATTGAACAGTCAAAAGTGGTTTGTGAAGTTTCGTGCTGGAGATTTCTCACTGAACAGTGCTCCGTGGTAAGGTAGACCAGTTGAAGTTAGTAGTGGTCAAATTGAGACATTAATTGAAAACCATCAACATTATACCACATGGGAGCTAGCTGACATACTCAAAATATCCAAATCAGTAAAGTTATTGGTGAAAATGAAAAGTCTGTCCTTTATTTTATGGAAAAAAATAAATGGACTTTTTGGCCAACCCAATACTTAACCTCTCTGAGCTGCATGCCTTGCAGAATTGTTCTGAGGATTTGAGACAGTGAATATAAAAGGCCAGGGACATGAGAATTAAGTAATTAATAGGTAAAATTAGGAATGATACAAATATGAATATCTGAATAGTAATACACTATATAAAAGACGTAAAAGTATGTTATCACAATCCATGGAGGATATCTTGGTAGTAGCAGCTCCAGCAACAGCAAGAGCAAGAGTAGGAATGGTGGTAGCAGCAGCAGGACCTGCAAGAGCCCAGAGGTTTTTTCAGGGCTTCTCAGATGCTCTGATTAAAGAGGACCTCCAGGCGGCATTAGAAGAGCTAACTAAGGCTTTGGAACAGGACCCAGATGACACAATATTATTGTCAAAGAGCTTTTTGTCATATCCATCTTGGGAATTATTGTGATACTATTGAGAAATCTCTTGAACTTAATCCAAATAATCCCACTGCTATGCTGGAAAGAGGGATATGTGAATACCATAAAAAACAAAACAAAACAACTATGCTGCTGGTCTAGAAACTTTTACAGAAGGACACAAATTAAATAGTGTGGATGCTAATTTTATTGTCTGGATTAAAACATGTCAAGAAGCTAAGAATGAGTCACAATCCAGGGTGCCTGTATCCCAGAGGCTCATCAGTCAAAAACCAAGTATGACTGGTATCAAACAGAATCTGAAGTAATCATCACATTTACAATCAGGAATGTTCAGAAGAATGATGTATTGTAAATGTGGAACTTTCAGAAAAAGAGTTGTCTACTTTAGTGAAATTTCCTACTGGAGAGGATTACAATTTGAAATTGACACTTTTTTATTCTATAATACCACACAGAGTACATTTAAAATACTTTCAACAAAGATGGAAATTAAAATGAAAAGCCAGAGGCTGTGAGATGGGGAAAGCTAGGGGGGCAGGGAGACATGCCTAAGCCAAAACAGTTCATAGCAGTTGTAAAGAACTCATATCCATCATCATCTCATACAAGAAATTTGGATAAATTGGTTGGAGAGGTCAAAGAAGAACAAAAGAATGAGAAGTTGGAGGGAGATGCAACTTCAAACAGATTATTTCAGCAGATCTATTCAGATGGTTCTGCTGAAATGAAAGATGTCATGAAAAATCATTAATAGGGTCTGGTGGTGCAGTTTTGAGTGCCATCTGGTTTGGTATAGGTACAAGGAAAGTTGAAATCAATCCTCCTGATGATATGGAATGGAAAAAAATATTAAATAAATTAATTTGCTATCACTGTATTGCATATATTCACCTAAAAAATGTGATGTAAATCCATGTCCTGTGGTAGCTTTATTGTAACCAATGGTTACTTAGGAAAAAAAATATATAAAAGAAATAGCTACACCTATAAAATATAGAAAATATATAGAACTTTCAAACTGAAGCTGTATACTATTAATAGCCCCCACTTTTATTTCTAAACAAAGTGTAAAAAATGCCAAAGGCTGTGGTGTCATTCAGATGTTCATCTTGATTTTGCAATTTACTAGCAGTGTGACCGGGGCAAATTGCCCAAACCTTCTAATCCTCAGGTTCCTCAGTGGTACAACCTGGTAAGTAGAATGTGTATCACATGGCAAAGTGAATGATATGATACAGCTCTTAGCAAAGAGACCATTATTTAGTTTAATAATTAAACTTACTTAATTATTTACACATTCTTACCTCCACCCACAGAAAATTCTTCTTGTTTGAGGGGTGTAGCTCAGCCCACTCAGTCAGGAACTGATCGACATTATTTTGCTCCTGACCTTCTTCCGTTTCTCAAAATTGTACAGCCTCCCACAAAAAAAACCAGCAACAAGAGTCAAGGACAAAAATGAGGTAAGACGAAGGCTCTTTTAGCTGAGCATGCCTTTCCACTGGCTGTTTTTAAAAGGGAGACAGGAATTTTTTTCCTCCAAGAAATGAACTCAGTCCAGTAGTTCTTAAACTGGGTTACCTATTAGAATCTCTTGGGGATTAAAAAAAAAAAAATGGACTCAAGATGGCAAAAGAGTGAGTGGAAGTCACACTGACTTCCTCCCAGGACCAACCTGGAATTACAACTAAATTGTGGAGAAATCACCTGGAACAAACAACTGAACAATAGTGAGAGAGGAGCCTTATAACCTTAGACAGACAGAAGAATCAGCATTAGCACAACCTGACTGGTAAGGAGTAAAATAGAGACTCTAAAAGGCGGGGGAGGGGGGTGCCCACAGGCGGGAGCACCAGAAGGATACTAAAACAGCCAGTTGGTTCCCCCTGAGAAGAATGGGGTCAAAATCATAAGCAGGGATCTCCAGCCTACAGCACCAGAGTGCAAAAAGTACACAGATAACAACCAGCTGCAAAAAATGGCAGGGTTGCTCTCTGCCAGAGACAGACGGCTAGAGATGCAAAGAGCCTTTTAAAGGGCCAACACAAAATTTTTATTTGCAGCCACTTACCCTGGGCTTTGGCAGAGGCGGGGGCAGGGTCGGCTGGAGAAGCCTGAGGTGAGACTGGGGACGGAGGCTTTGGGGAGAGAATGGAGAGAGTAGCCAGCAGGATCCCGGTGCTGACTTCTCCCCCATATGGCAGCAGCCATCATGCCCAGGCAGAGACCACTCCCCCTGAGTGGCAACAGAGTGAGAGGAAACAATAGCCCTGCCCCCAGGAAGGACTCTGCCCTAGCCCAGTAGTGCTAAAGCCTGACAGCTGAGTACAGAGTGGCAGCCACAGATAGTAGATCCCCAGCTAAGAGGAGCACAGAGTGGTCTGGAGACACCTGAGGTGAGACTGGGGATAGAGGCTTAGGGGAGAGAATGACGAGAGTAGCCAGCAGGATCCCAGTGCTGAGTTCTCCCCCATACGGAGGTAGCCATCTGGCTCAGTCAGACCACTCCTCTGAGCGGCAACAGCATGAGAGAACCCAATAACCCCAACCCCAGAAAGGACTATGCCCCACCCGGTGGTGTCTCTAAACTGGCCTGTGGATTGCAGAATGGCTAGATTAACAGCTGAAGGAAACAACCACAGATAGTAGATTCCTGGAAGTCTCGAACAGACGCCTAAGGTCAGACAGGGTCAACATCTGACATCAGAGGCAGATCCAGAAAGAAAAAAAAAGCAGTCTCACCGTAGAAGTTCACACCACAAAGTCAGGAAATTAAGACAGATCAATTTAGGAAGCAGAAGCAAAAAAGAAGAGTCTCACAAATAATGGGAAGACAAAGAAACACCACCCAGTTAAAGGGAAAGAAGGAATCCCCGGAAAGAGAACTAAGAAATAGAGACAAGTAAACTATCAGATATTGAGTTCGAAACAACGGTTCTAAGGAAGCTCAATGAGCTCAGTGAGCTCAGAGAGAATTACCAAAAACTATAGGGAAACTACCAGGAACTTGCTGCAAACTATATGAGCATGAAAAAGGACATAGAAACTATCAATAAGAGAGAAGAGGAAATGAGGAATATCATTTCTGAATTGAAGAACACAGTAGAAGGAGTCAAAAGCAGGCTAAATAAGGCAGAGGATCGAATCAGTAAGCTGGAGGACAAGGTAAAAAAAAAGCTCCCAGAAAAAGCAAGAAAATGAAAAGAAGACTCCAAAAGAATGAAGAGGCATTTAAAGACGTGCAGGACAACCTGAAATGTAATAATATCTGTGTAACAGGGATACCAGAAAGAGAAGAGGAGAACGGGATAGAGAACCTGTTTGAAAAAGTAATGATGGAAAACTTCCCTAACCGGAGGAGAGAAAAAGTCACACAAGTCTAGGAAGCACAGAGGGTCCCATTCAAGAGGAACCCAATGAAGCCCACTCCAAGACACATCATTATTAAAATGGCAAATATCAAACACAAAGACAAAGACAAACATGAATTTTAAAGGCAGCAAGGGAGAAACAGGTAGTAACATATAAGGGAGCCCCGGTATGGCTAGCGGCTGACTTCTCAATAGAAACACTACAAGCCCAAAGGAAATGGCAAGAAATCTTCCAAGTCATGAAAAGCAAAGGCCTGCAACCAAGACTGCTCTACCCAGCAAGGCTCTCAATTAAAATGAAAGGCAAAATAAGGAGTTTTCCAGACAAAAGAAGGCTAAAAGAATACACCTCCACCAAACCAGCATTGCAAAATATACTAAAGGGACTGCTTTAAGGAGATGAAGAAAAAGAGTCTATGAATACCCAGTTCCTTTCACAGTTGCCAATACTTGATTTTACCAGTACTTTTAATATGTAATAATCTGAGTACATGCCAGGGTTTTACCCCAGTTACTGAATGATGGTCTTCCAGGATTGTCCTAGGTAGGTATATTTTTCACTGTTCACAGGTAATTCTAATGAACATATCTGCTTAAGAACACCTGGGTTAGAGGAGTGATTATGAGGAAGGAGAAAGTAGTGGAAGAGACAAATGGACAGCCTAAGGAAAGGCATTTATTTTTGTGCTTTAAATTTTCTGAAGTTTTCTATTTTTTTTCCTACCTGAGAGTTTGGAAAATTTGGTATCTTGAATGTGGTTCAAGTAATAAGCACATGTCAGGGCCCTTCAAGGGCTGGTGTCTGCAGCTGACGCTCTTCCACCACACGTGTATCTGAGGCCTGCCTGCCACCTAAGTGGCCCCTTGATAAGCTGCAGGAAAAATGCTATGCCCACTTCAATTGTATTTATGTGAAAATAGGTCATTCGATAAATATTGTTTCTTAAAATGAAACTTTTTTTCTTATATTTGAAATTGATTTGCTTTTGTTTATAAACAGTCCTCTGTCCTGCTTCCCCAAACTGACAGTTGATGAGAGGTTTTGGCAGCCTCCATGAGAATGGCAGGTGCCTGTGGTGTAGTCACCTACAGGGTGCTGATGGCAATGCTCTAAAGACTTTCTTTCCCCCTAGCTGCAAACGCCTCCATGGTTCACCCTCCGAATTTGCTCCCTCTTTTTTCCCCCACACTCCTGCCAAGCTGAACACTGCCTTGTCCTCACAGAGGTCCCTTGCTTCTGTGCCTTTGATCACGCTATTTCCTCTTTTAGAATGATCCTCCCACCATATTCTTGGAAGTTCATCTTAAATGCTACTGTCTCAGTCTTCTCCAGATACTCCTACCCAACCCTGATGTGATTTCTCTGTCTCTCTAGAGCTACCTCCAAAGCCTTCTGCCTTAATAACCCTTCTCTGACATTGAGTTGCTATCATGCCCAATTCTTAATTACCTGGTTTTATTTCTATGTTATTAGGCAACCAAAAGACTATGGAATAGGGATAATAATTTAAAAAAAGAAATTTGGAATGGGGAATCAAAGCACAGATACAACAAAGTGCAGAAGGAAATTAGAGGGTTGTTTATTTTTTAACATATAAAAAGAGAGAAAAGCTGAAGGAAGGGAAGCCTGTTTAAGCCAGTGCCTCAGAACTGACTCCTGGGTCCCTAGAGGGCTGAAGATAGCAACACCCAGTCATGGCAATTCACTGGCTTGGACACTGACAAAGTTGGGTGTGAGGGTGGGGCAGCCTTCTTATTGTATATAACATCCTCATTGTATGAAGTTACTTTTACAAGCAAGGACTCGGGCCCCTCAAAAATCTTTATAGCATGAGGAGTAAGAGGTGGTGGGATTGAGCAAAAAAGAAAATAAAAAAGAGAAAAAACCTCAAAAAGTAAAAACTGGTATACGAAAAAAAAGAGGAAAGAATAGAAACCTGGCACGGCACATGTGCAGCCAGAAGAGAGCCTGGTGGTAGCCCTGGCCCAAGGTGCTCTCTGTGCTATGCATGTACAGTTAGATGCTGCATCATGGGAGGTTTGGGGCCAAGGACGGCCAGTGGCAAGAGAAAGGCTCTTGAGATGAGAGCTTATGGACCCAGCTGTTCAACAATTAACATTCAATATTTCAACTTAAAAAACAGTTTGGCCATATCAGAGCAGACAAGCATTCCTAACTAGAGCCCTTAGGTAGTTGGCTAGAGAATGTGAGAAATCATATGCCTAAAAGACAGCCTTGAGATCAAGGCCATCCCTGTGGACCCGTGAGATCTGTCTCATCCTTGGGAATGCTGCCAAGGCATCTGCAGGTGCAGGTAGCTCCTCTAGACCTGCAAAGGCTCAGGTGATGGCCCTGACATTCTCTTGTGTGCCGCTCCCACATCAAAGCCTACACTTCGAAGCACCGGCTTCCAGCTCACCGGGCATGTGCCTGTGGGCCTGTGGGGCCATTGATTTGAGCAAACCTCTCGGCTGCGCTGGTAAGCCCTGGGCTGCGCTGTTGGCTATTCAGACATGAAGACACAGTCCAGATCTGCAGTCTAGTAGGAAAGATACAAACTCACGTCCTTTTTTTAGGTTTGGAAAACTGAAGTGCAAATCAAAATAGTCTGAGAAGCCTGAAAAGGGTACTGGAGCTGATTCACGTCTATAAAAAGTCAGTGTTGTGATATTACATTGGCGCTGCTAAATAATTTTTCTTTGGGGATGGGGTTTTTCTTTTCTAGCACCTCAGTAACCTCCGCCAAAGTGGCTGTGAATGGTGTCCACCTGCATTATCAGCGGACCGGAGAGGGCGAGCATGCAGTCTTGCTGCTTCCTGGAATGTTGGGTCTGGAAGGTTTTAATGGAATGTTCTTGCATGCTGTGTAATCGATGATGCTTTCACGATATAGTTGCCAGATACTGGTTATTAATTTTAGTGCTTTATGGAAATGCTTTCAGTAATGTTTGCTACAATTAATATTAGGTGATTTAGAAAGATAACCTTCTGCTATATGTATTATTTAGTTCCTTTAAATACCTGGTTTTTCCCATGGAAGTACAGTATATAGTTCCGTTGCCTACAGTTTGGGAGGATGCTAGGGGTCAAGGAAAGGGGTGTGGGAAGAAGGGTTAGATGAAGACAAAAGATGAGTGGGTGACAGCCATTCCAGTTTCCCTGGATTTAAGGCTTTTCCCAGATGGGAGACTCTCAGTGCTGAAAGATGGATTGATGGCCCTTCGTGGTGGACTGTGTGTCCCATCAAAGTAAGAGCTAAGAGGGGAACTGAGCTGGAAGACTATTTGGACATCAAAATTAGATTGGTATGAATGGAGTATTGTAAAGCCAGCTGAATCTCTATCTTATTTTACAGATAAATAGTTTAGATGTTCAGGAAGAAATTTTCCAGTGATCTCAGGACATCTCAAATTTGGTTTTACAGGTTTTAGCATTGGGTTGTTTTGTTTAGTTTAATAATCCCAATTGATACTTATTTTCTTATGATTTGTTTCTTTCTCTTAAAATTTTTCATTTACTTGATGGTTCCACTTGACTGAGCCTCAGCTGATTATGGTGCCATTGTGGCTACTGAGGCATCATTGTTTAGACAGCATTTAGTATGTTCTGTTTTTCTTTAAGCTGTGTAATAAAGGAGGACATTTAATCTTACAATGGCTGATGTTGAGCCAAAGTTATCTGAAAAGCAATGAATAATTGATCAGGTTGGATTTCCATTGTTCCAGATTGCAGTCATGATCCAGGTATAAAAAACTTGACAATTTAATTTTTATTTATGTAAAACATTAACCTTATTCAAAAATCCAAAAGTCAAACAGTGACACTGCCTCTCCAAATCCCATGTCCCCAGCACCCAGTTCCCTCTCTACAGGTAACCAGTGTTGATGTGTTTCCTTCTCAAGTGTCATATAGGGCTGACTATTCCTTAAAATAAATTCTTTCAGGTTTTAGTATTCTTTGCACTAGTCTTCAAATGCATACCTGTGTGCCAGGAAGCAACTGTTGTTATTTCTGAAATAGATCTTGAGTGAGACTGTTTCCTTTTCCTGCCTTCTCACCTCCTGCCCCTCTGCGGCAGTCCCATGGGCAAGTCCCTCCAGTTCAGGAACCATAAGAGCAGTAGGAATGAGCTTGAGAGCCATCTATGTTTTTAGCTTGGGTTTTCTGAAGGGTTTACCTGATGGTGAGAAAGGTATATCTTGTCAGAACAATGTTTCTGTCAAATGATACTATACCATCTTGAAAGACAGTTTCTAATAATAGCTAGTTTATCAAGCAAGACGTTGAGTATCTCTTTGTGGTCTGAGCTATGGATCCTCAGAAACCAAGCAGACCTTAAAAATAAAGTACTGATTTGCCCCTGGACTGGGCCCTTCGAGGAACTGGCCTTCATACCACGCCGAGTGGGTGTGAGAACAGCGCACAGGAGAGCTCTATGTGTGTGTGCCCACAGTGACCATGGCTGCTGGGCAGGCTGGGAACTGCCAGTCAAGTCCACCACTGACTTGTTAACATATGCTGCTCTATAATTTTTTAGTGCAATAAACTGATTTGTTTCTTTTACACCCTGCCCTTCTCATTCATTTCTGTGTTTAACTTTCTAGTTTCTAGTTATAACCACCCCCGCCCCCCCCGCAAAAAATAAAAAATCTTCTGGGCTGTTCACAGTAGCTTAGTAAAAAAAAAATCTATGGATTTAGAATTCTACTTTGAATAACTTGGATCAAATCTCATAAATTTCTCTAAAGATATTGGAATCTCTCTCACTTGTAACAGTCACTTAAAAAAAGAAAAGCAAAAAATAATCCAGAAGCATATCGTATCAGTAAGACTATTTCTGCGCAGTTTCATGATTTGTTTTTTAAAGGAAGATGAAGCTGAAGAGGGGCCAAAAATGGGGGACTTTAATAATACAGGACCAAAGCATCTGTCTTTCTTAAAGTAGCCACTAGGGGGCCATAAGAGACAGGTCTGAGCTCCCCAGGGAAAGGATTGCGAAGTGAATGGATTGGATGGCTGCAAGACTCCTGAGCTGATTACAATCTGATATCTAACTTTGAGTAGAAACTATTTGCTTTGTTTTAAGATTGTAATTCTTTTTTTTTTTTTTTACAGTAATGTGTTTGAAACAATAAAAGCATTCACCTGAATTAATGAAGTCACTGTTTTTAGGAAGTGGAGAGACTGATTTTGGACCTCAGATTAAAAACCTAAATAAGAAGCTTTTCACAGTGGTTGCCTGGGATCCCCGAGGATATGGACATTCCAGACCCCCAGATCGAGATTTCCCAGGGGATTTTTTTGAAAGGGATGCAAAAGATGCTGTTGATTTGATGAAGGTGGGTCTCTTAGAGAAGAGCCGAAGGGAGGAGGATGGCTGGGCATGTCTTCATTTATTTTGTTTTTGTTTTTGATTTCTACAAGGGTGATACCATGTGATTCCTATAGAAAATTTTAAAAGTTCAAATTCATATAAAAAAGAAAGTAGAAATGTCCCACAATCCAACTGTGTAGATATACCACCATGAAGAATTTGAGGCTCTGCCTTTCTGGCCAGTCTTATTACATATGTAAATACACATTTTTATATTGATGGCACGATACTGTACCTAATGTTTTTCCAACTTACTATTTCATTGAACAATTTTTCAAGGAGATACTTCCATGTCAATAAATATAAGTTTACAGCAGTATTATAATAGGTGCATAGTTTTTCATTGTATGGAAGTTCTGTGTCTTATTTTATCTCTCTTTTAATGGTAGATAAATAACTTAATTTTTTTATCCTCATCAGAGGATACATTTATTGATTTTAGAGAGAGGGAGAGAAACCTTGATGTGAGAGAGAAACATCCTTTAGTTGCCTCCTGTGCACGCCCCAACCACAGAGACCAAACGCACAACCTTTTGGTGAACGGGACAAAGCTCCAACCAACAGAGCCAGCCTGCCAGGGCAATAACTTAAGTTTTAAGTTGCTCTTTTTTTGTGATTATAAACAGCGGTGCAGTGAACATTCTGTTGTCCATGGACATTTTAGTTCTCATTTTTTTTGCTACTATAACAATGCTGCTTTGGACATCCTGGACCTGTCTCCTGGTGCACATATGCAAGAGTTCCATACATATTCAGGAGATGGCCTGTGGGGCTATAGAAGATGCACAGCTTCATTTTACAAGACAGTGCCAAGTTCTTATCCATAGTAGTTATCCCAATTCTTTAACTTAATTTTCCCAATTATTTAACCTTTACCTCTAGACAGCATCTCTCAGATGTCATCTTTTTTCATTCTCCCTGTGAAACCTGTTTTCAGAGCCTGGATGATTCACCCCCCAGGACTCACATAACCTCCCCATGACACCATTCTCTTCCAGACTTCCTCCAGCCACTTCTTCACAATGTTGCAATTAGTCACTTTACCAGATGTGATGACTTCATTTCATCCAGTTTCCCTTTCTAATCTACACAGCTGTTCTCAAAGTCATTGCTCAGGTGTCCTCTGTCATGTCCAAGGACAGCCGATCTCCATTATTTCCAGTTTCTTGAGATTTTATCCAATGCGAAGTAATTCCTTCAAAATTTGAAACAATACTATGGACTTAAGTTTTTATGACAATTATATTTACACCAAACTAATTGAGAGAAAACAGTTTTGACATCAAATGGTGTACTCTGGGATTTTTCATTAATTGCCAATTGATACTCCAAACCCCACAGCTATATTGATTCTGTTAATTATTGATTATTGGGCTCTTTTAACAGAGAGGAGCAATAACCTGTGCTGTGCATTTTGTATTTATCACAGACACTGAAGTTTAAGAAGTTCTCTTTGCTGGGGTGGAGTGATGGTGGTATAACTGCACTCATTGCAGCTGCAAAATACCCGTCTTACATCCACAAGATGGTGATTTGGGGAGCCAATGCCTATGTGACTGAGGAAGATGAAATGATTTATCAGGGTAGGTTCCATGAACTGGAGATGTCATGACAAGTAACATCCTCCTCTTCCCTCTCCCTTTTAATTCTCTCTTTTTAAAAAGATTTTATTTCTTTACTTGTTGGGGTTGAGGGGGAAGGGAGGAAGAAAGAAAGAGAGAGAAACATTGATGTGGGAGAGAAATATCAATCAGTTGCTTCTCATGCATCACCTGACCAGGGACTGTACCTGCAACCCAGGCACGGACCCTGACCGGAATTGAACCAGTACCTTTCACTTTTGCTGAGATTATGCCCAACCAGGCCACACGGGTCAGGGCTCCCCTTTGATTCTCATTTTGATACTTACTTAGAGGCTATATCTCATCCTCTTCTAGTTCTCAGTTCTAAGGTAGACAGAAAAATTTCTCGGAAAAGTAATACAATTGAACCAGTCTGTGTTTAAAAGCTTTCTCTTTCCAGAAGCAATATTTATATGTGACTCAGGAAAGGGCTAAATTAGTATTTACATTTTCTACTACTGATAGTGAACTTCAAGGAAGGAGGGGTTTGATGTGAAGTGTTATTTACATAACCTCATTTAAAATAATGCAAATGCAAAAGGGAACATTGTATTCAAATATGAAACTTTATATCTTGATAAAGAATTTTTGTACTATTCACATTTCTTATGGTTGTCCTTCAGTCTTATTTTTAAGGTTTTTAAAGATATAAGAGCAGGGGCCTATGGACTAAATCCAGCCAGCTTACCATCTGTTTCTGTAAGGCCTAGGAGGCTCGCGCAGTGAGTTTTGGAGATCAATATTGAGTGTCTTTCTTCATCCCCATTTCCTCCTCCACTCCCAGTGTTGCTGACAGAGCCTGTACCGGTGGCCGCCTACATGTTGGCAACTCTTAGTTAAAACCAGGCACCTAGGCATGGAGTTTACATTGGCAATTTAGGAGTTGCTTAGCCTCTAGCAGGCTGGCCACATTGAGACTGCTGGGCTCTTAGGAGAGAAGGGTGCATCAGGATCTGGGGGTCCCTGAAGCACAAAGTGAAATGGACCTAGGCTACCCTAACACCACCACATGCTGGCCTTGCTCACCAGGGCCCTTCTCTTCAGGCCAGTAGCTTTTTGTCCTGAGTATGTTTCTCTTGGTTCCCAGATGGCCTACTCCAGACAACCAGGGCAAGGTAAATTAGAAGTTTCTCTCCTTTATTTACATAATATCTTTGATTTTGCCTCTTGGCCTACAAAGCCTAAAATATCTACTCTCTGGTCATTTATAGAAATAGTTTGCAGGCCTGTGCACTAGAATATCACAAGTATAGTCTTTTTCACCTATTCTGCAATTCACATGACTTAGGTAAGCTATTTAATGGCCATGTTTTATTGTAGAATCTTAGTTCTTGACAGTCCTTCTCTTTGGTAAAGAACAATGAAACTCTTAAATATTAAGTCTGATTTAATTACCAATCTTAGTTGGTACTCCTGCCTGTCCTTATTGCATCCCCACCTAGTTCTGAGGAGCGTGTCTGTCTTATGCAAAGTAAGAGCTTCCACTTTGTCACTGGTCCTTTCCCTCCCACTACCTCTAGGACAAGGTGCCTCTGGTTCTCTCTCCATCTCCCCCATCATTGACTTCTCTCCCTGGATCTTTACTCTTGGCCTGTAATTTGGGCATGGTTCCTCCTCCAAAAGATTGTATTTCTTACCTATAGTTACTACCTTACCATTCTTTGTCCTTTCCCACAACTTATTGAAAGAGTTGCTTGTACTCTCTGCTTCTACACATTCTCTTCTCATTCCTTCTCCAGTGCATTTTGGCCCATCCCCCATTGTGGCCCATACTGAAACTGTTCTCACTGAGATAAGTATGACCTCCTTGTTGTCAAAGCCAGTGGATTCTTTTAGGGTAGTTTGTAGTATTTCCTCATTACTCTTTTGTTTTTCCTTTTTATTCTTTAAAAGTTTATAAGGGCTACAGTGATACCCCTTCTTTGTTCCCTGAAACTGATCATTTGTATCATCTCTCTTTTTATCCTGACCAGCTTAACTAGAGGATTATCAATTTCATTGATTTTTTTCAGAGAACTAAATTTTGGTTTTATTAATTTCTTTCTGTTGTTTCCTGGTTTCAATTTTATTGTTTCTGCTCTTTATTATTTTCTTCCTTGTGATTGCTTTGAGTTTTAATTTACTTTTTTTGCTAATCTCAAAGTAGAAGCTTAGATTATTGATTTAGATAGAACTTGCTTCTTTTTCATATAAAAAGTTAATGCAATAAGTTTCCCTCTAAGTACTGCTTTGGCTGCATCCTACCAATTTTGATATGTTGTGTTTTCATTCAGTTTAAAATATTTTCTAATATTCCTTCAGATTTCCTATTTGACCCATGGATATTTAGAAATATTATTTAATTTATACATATTAAAGGTTTCCCAGATACCTTTCTGTTATTGGTTTCTAACTTAATTCCTTAATGTTCAGAAAACATGCTTTGCATGATTTCAATTCTTTTAAATTTTATTTATGTCCCAGAATATGGTCTAGCTTGGTAAATGTTCTATGTACATTTGAAAATAGTATGTATTATGCTGCTGTTTGGTGGAGTGTTCTATAAATGTCAATTAGGTGAAGTTGGCTGATGGTATTGTTTAGGCCTTCTATATCTTTTCTGATTTTTCTCTACTCATTCTATCGGTAACGGAGAGAGAAATGTTGCAGTCTCCAAGTATAATTGTGTTTTTGTCTTTTTCTCCTTTTAGTTTTTGCTTTGTATATTTTGGGGCACCAAATTTGGGAAGTTTGCAGTCATTATTGTATCAGATATATTTTTCTTAGTCAATATTTTTTTCTTCTTCTGGAACTCCAGTGGCACACATGTTGTTATGTCTGCCCAGTCTCTCCTTAACTTGTGCTTAGATGGCGTCCAACACAGTCCAGAGAAAACAGTGCTTCTGTGCTACGATGCCCATTGGACACTTATTGCCCTCTGGTTCCTTGGTCATTCTGCAGCATTTAAAAATACACATATGATGTGTATAATATTGATCTCACCCCTTTTTGAAGATTTCTGTCTTGAAGCTGCTGCCACCATAATCTCTAAATTTCCTTCTCCTATCCTTGTTTTTTTGGTTTTTTTGGAGGGGATATTAACACAAGTCCACTCTTTTCTACTGGGCGCTGTGACATTGGGGTCTTCCAAACACCGTCCTTGGCACTCTGCTCTTCTTCTCACTCTTAATAACCCATGTAACTTCAGTCATTTCTTGGCTTCACTGAACTCCCAAATCCCAGGTAGTCAATTTTTTATTCAACTTTCTTATCTGGTTGACCCACATGCACCTTTCACTCAGGATGTCTAAAATTGGACTCAGTCTTCCTTCACAAAGCTGGTCTACCTGCTAAATTTCTTATTTTGGTAAATGGTTCCCAAAGGAATATGCTATTTTTTCCCACAAAATAATATTTTTAATTACTATTTATTGAATACCTGCTATGAACTAATGTTTTTACCCCTACAGTGTCCCTGTAAAATAATTATTACCGAGCCTCTGTTTTAGATAATCAAAGAAGTAAAGAAACCTATGATGCCATAGCTGGGAGGTGGCACTTCATGTCTGACTAATGGCCGAGTGTTTACATAGTCATCTAGCCCTCTGCGTTCTTCTTGCACTCTTCCTCTGCTCTGTCTGCCATCCATCTTCTCTTTCTGTTCCTCCTGCCAGGCTTCAAGTCCACACTCTCATCAGTCTCAGCTTAGATCAATGCAGTACCTTTCTAACCAGTCCCCATTTTTACCTCCTTTCAACCTACTTTCTACGCTGCTCTGATAGGAATTTTGTAAAGTGTAAATGTCATTATATCTTACTTAAAGATCCTTCAAGGCCTCCCATGGCTTTCTGGATAAGTCAGTTCAAACTTCTCAGCTTTGCTCACAGAGTTTGAGTGACCCAGGACCTTCTGTCTTTCTAGGTCCATCTCCTACTACTTTTGTCTTCCCCTCCCCCACACACTCATCTTTTTCTTCAGCCATCTGAAAATGCCTGAAGTTCTAAAAGTACCACGGTTCTCAGCCTCCATGTCACTGCACACGTATTTGTTCCTGCTCCTGTATTTGCTTGCTGATTTCTGTTCTCACTGACTTAAACACAGCAGTGTATCCTCTAGGAAGCCCCCTCCCCACCACTGCCACTTCCTTGAGCTCACCAACCGTCTTCTGTCATCCCACATCCTCTCACATGACACTTAGTGCCTCTAATGCCATGGTTGCTTGTAAGTCTTTGACTGAAGAGCAGTGACTGCATCTTACTCAAGTTTGACTCTGTTGTGACTAACACACAACAGACTTCAGATAATGTTTACTGGATTAACTCACTAATTAATGACGAATGAATGTTGTCTTCATTAAGAGTCTAGTGCCTATCACAAATTATATGCTCAAAAAGAAATATATCAGTTTATTTTTGGATAGAAAGAAGAATTGTTTTGGGTCAGCAAACAGTTTGATTCAAATGGCTATTTTAGGAACTTAATTATGAAACATAATTACTACTAAATTTTGGTGGAAATTATGCTTTGGTGTAAACTGGCTTCCTCTTGAAAAAAAGGACAGAAGTAAATATATAAATACATAGAATATTTTTTAATTTTTGATTTTAGAGAGAGAGAGGAAGGGGAAGAGAGAGAGACATTGATTTGTTGTTGAACAACAAACCAGAAACCTTGGTCTATCGGGATGATGCTCTAACCAACTGAGCTACCCTGACAGGGTATTACATAGAATACTTTTGAGTGCTTGTGATATGCCAGGCACTGTTGTTAATGTATATCATGTCTAACTTACTTGCTTTTATCCCATAGTGTTGTTATAATTCCTATTTTTCAGATAAAGAAACTATAGCACAGAGAAGTTAGGGAACTTGCTCGGGGTCTCAGAGTTAGTAAATGCAAGACCTGGGATTCAAATGGGCAGTATGCCTTCCAGGCAAGCCTTTGTTATTGAGCACAGTGCTTGATATGAACATCTGGCCTGCCTCAGCTGTGGCTGGATTTCTCTGTCCCTTGACATTTAGGTAATGTTTCCTGTCAGAGTCTAAAGTTTTGCCCTAGATTTTACATTCCCATAGATTCCACTTGCTCCAAATGCCTGGTTCTATGAGTTAATTCATTTTAAGGATCTCTTGCTGTCCTAAGTAGAGGCATTTACATTTTAGCAAGAAAAATATCTCCATACTGAATATCAGCCAATTTGGTTCTTAAAAGGTCTTGGCTTTCCTAGCACAGGGGACTTTCTCTATTTTGTAAAAATTTATAAAACGTATAAATTTAAAATATTATATAAAATATTAAAATTATATTAATGTTAAATTAATGTATGGTAATATATTTGATATATAAATCAAATACATTAAATGTATTTTATTATATATTTTATTATAAATTTGTTTTTGAGCTACAGAAAGTGATTTCATACTGTAGCTCATCTTTGGTGACTCACTCTTCACTGAACATTGTATTTTTGAGATTCATTCATGATATTGCTGTATCACATTTCATTGAACAAACATGTCACATTTCATTTTCCCTTTCTTTTATCAATGGTTAGTTCTATTTCCAGTATTGTTATGAACATTCTTGTACATGTATTGCAAGGCATATGAGTAACAGTGTCTTTCCAGGGTATATGAAATTGCTGAGTATTGTATAATGCAAATATACCCCATTATAATTGATAGCTTGTTTTGCAAGTAATAAATTTACACTTCTACCAGAAACATAAGAGATACCTTAACTTAGATCCTCAAAAAAACTTGGAATTATCAGACTTCCTCCAAGCACAATCTGGCTCAGAGCCAGACTAGCCAGTAATATGGTTGTAAAATGGTATTTTGCTATTTTATTGGGGGAGGTCTAAATTTGCATTTTTCTATTACTAATAGGGTTGAGAATCTTTCTATGTGTTTATAACCACTGGGGTTTCTTCTTCTCTGCTATACCTAATATTATTTCTTTTTTTAAGTATATTTTATTGATTATGCTATTACAGTTGTCCCATTCATTTTTCTCTCCTTTCTCTCCCTCAGCCCTGCTCCCCCACCTCCCTCCAGCATTCCTCCCTCTTAGTTCATGTACATGGGTTGTACATGTAAGTTCTTTGGCTTCTCCATTTCCTATACTATTCTTAACCTCCCCTTTTTTATTTTGTACCTACCAATTATGCTTCTCATTCTCTGTACCTTCTCCCCCCATTCTCCACCTTCCCCCTCCCCACTGATCTCCATTTCTGTGATTCTATTCCTGTTCTAATTGTTTGCTTAGGTTATTTCTGTTTTTGTTTTTTTAGGTTCAGTTGTTGATAGTTGTAACTTTGTTGTTATTTTACTTTTCATAGTTTTGATCTTCTTTTTCTTGGTAAGTCCCTTTAACATTTCCTATAATAAGGGCTTGGTGATGATGAACGCCTTTAACTTTACATTATCTGGGAAGTACTTTATCTGCCCTTCCATTCTAAGTGATAGCTTTGCTAGATAGATTAATCTCGGTGGTAGGTCCTTGCCTTTCATGACTTTGAATACGTCTTTCCAGCACCTTCTTACCTGCAAGGTTTCTTTTGAGAAATCAGCTGATAGTCTTATGAGAACTCCTTTGTAGGTAACTGTCTCCTTTTCTCTTGCTGCTTTTAAGATTCTCTCCTTACCTTTGATCTTGGGTAATTTAATTATGATGTGTCTTGGTGTGTTCCTTCTTGGGTCCAACCTGCCTGGGACTCTGAGCTTCCTGGAGTTGTATGTTTATTTCCTTCACCAGATTTGGGAAGTTTTCTTTCATTATTTTTTCAAATAAGCTTTCAATTTCTTGTTCTTCCTCTTTTCCTTCTGGCAGAGAAGGAAATGGATGTTGGAATGTTTAAAGTTGTCCTAGAGTTTCATAAGCCTCTCTTCTTTTTTAAAAATTCTTGTTTCTTCATTCTGTTCCCATCGAATGTTTATTTCTTCCACCTGTTCCAAATCATTGACTTGCGTCCTGGTTTCCTTCCCTTCACTTTTGGTTCCCTGTATATTTTGCTTTATTTTGCTTTGTATAACCTTCACTTCTTCCTCTATTTTGCAGCTGTACTCAACCATTTCTGTGAGCATCCTGATTACCAGTGTTTGGAACGTTGCATCTGATAGGTTGACATCTCCTCGTCACTTAATTCTTTGTCTGGAATTTTGATCTGTTCTATCATTTGGGTCATATTTCTTCGGCTTGGCACACCTGTTACATTGTGAGGGGCAGAGCCTTAAGTATTTGCCAGGGCTGCGCAACCCACTTGGCTGCGTTATGACTCTGTATGGGGGGAGGAGTCAGAGAGACAGACACTCAGCCATGGACATAGAAAACACTGCAAAGTAGTGGTACGTGCTAAGCAGAATAGCTGGAGGGAGGGTGGTCAGGAAGACCAGGCCTCATTGACCTGGGTGAAGTGAGGAGAGAACCATCTGGAAACCTGGGGGAGCATTCTAGGCAGACAGAGCAGTAAGCAATGGCGCCGAGCCAGACTGTGCTTGGAATATTTAAAGATAAACTTTAGTAAGACACTAAAACTATTCTTTTCACACTTTTATTTTTCAGGTATCCGAGATGTTTCTAAGTGGAGTGAAAAAATAAAAAAGCCTCTAGAAACCCTATATGGGTATGACTACTTTGCAAAAACCTGTGAAAAGTGGGTGGATGGCATAAAACAGTTTAAACATCTTCCAGATGGTAGGTTACATGAACTATTTAATGGTTCTTTTGCTGATTATAAAGGTTGCTTGAGTTCCTCCCCTGATGTTCCAGAATTCCTCTGGGATTAATGGATTCACCACTATCCTTACACCCTGATATATGATCAGAGAATATTAGTGACTCTATACAATACAAGTTCTTATGTATTAAGTCTGCCTTTAACTAGAGATTGATTTACGTAGTATAAAGGTTTATAATGCTTAGTCTTTAATAGCAGACTGTTCTTTTTTCCTTCTAATCCTTTGTGTGTGATGACAAAATAATTCTCCAGAAGCCTCAAATAGTCTTTGTTTTCTAATTTCAGAAAGAATAATTAGAAAACAAACAAGCTACAACATATACCTTTTTTTTTTCTTTTTGCACATTTAGACAAGTTACCCTAGGACAAACAAGGAGGGACTTTCTTTCATGACCTTTAGCCCTGTAGAATTAATATGAGGAAGAGAGTGTTCAAGTCTTTTCCCATCTTCAGAACTAAGTTACATAACAGTAGCCTTGACTTGATTTCCAATTACAGTAAGAATTGACATCCTTAAGAAAAATTCCAAATTATTTTATATAAACATTTACATTTTTAATGTCTCCTTTTTCTTTTTTTAATTGCTGAAAGAATAGAGAGTAGCTAAAATCTAATCTTGAAGCACGTTCAGTCATAAAATCATTGTGATTGAAGGACCAGTTTGATCTCTTAACTAATAATTTCCAGAATGAGCCATCTTTCAAAACCTTCATAATGAACAGGACATTTGGAAATGTTACTTTCTTGGCCTAAGTTCAAAAGAGCAAATATGTCCTCTTCAAATGCAGCATCCACTCCTAGAAATAGGTCCGTGAAATCTGTTTCCCTTGGCTTTTAAAGCAAACAAAAAAAATTGCTATATAACAATGTCTCGGACAGTTCTCCATTAAAGAAGGCAAATTTGTGAAATGTAAACCTTTATGTTTTCCTTAAGAGAGTAGGGAAAATGTCAGATTGCCCAAAAGTAGAAGCAGAATTATATGAGCTAAAAAACATGTCCTATATTTATGAAAATTAAAAACTTGTGCTCTGCAACAGACACCGTTAAAAGAATGAAAAGACAAACCACAGAGGGGGAGAAAATATTTACAAAAGACCCATCTGATAAAGGACTGTTATCCAGGATATACAAAGAACTCTTAAAACTGAACAATAAGAAAATGATCCAATTAAAAAATGGACCAAAGGTACCACTCTAATAGGTGAGATCCCACTCTTCACCTGTTAGAATGGCCACACAGAGGAATGTCAGGGCAGTGAAAGTGCTCTCTCTATGATACTATACTAGATACACATCATTATACATTTGTTGAGAACCACAGAATGTATAACACCAAGAGCGAGCCCTAAGGGAAATTATGGATTTTGGTTGACGATGATACGTCAATGGAGGTTCATTCACTATAAAAAATGTACCACTCTGGAGGATGTTGGTAGTGAGGGAGGCCATGTGTGGGGGCAGCATATATGTGGGGAATCTCTGTACCTTCCACTCAGTTTTCCTATAAACCTAAAACTCTTAAAAATAAAATCTATTTTTTTAAAAAGAGAGAGAGGGTGTGAAAAATGTCATAATACAGAGGATCTAGCAATGTATCGATCATCTTACAGCAAGATTGTTAATGAACTACTTACCTCCCTCTGTACTACCTAATTCGAGAGGAGCCCTTTTTTCTGGTTGTGTACTCAGGTTTCAGTGTGAAACCTAGCGCAGGCACTGATTGCACAGGTTTGGAGTTAGACAGGCCTGGGTGTGCATTCTGGTTTTGCTACTTGGCTTGCTGTTAGAATGGATTCAGGCAAATCACTTAGCTTCTCTAAGCTGCAATTTCCTGTCTGAGAACTAAGGATACTAATAACTACCTCATAAAGTTGTTCTGAGGACTAAATGAGTTATGTATGTTCAACTTTGGTAGAGTACCAAGTACAGAGTAAGTGCTTAATAAAAGTACTTGATTTACAAATAATTGTACATACTGAATGAGTTAAAACATGTAACTACCACAAGTGTTTCATGGGTATTAAATAATTTTAACAGTTCTTAACACATAGTGAGCACTCAGTAATGCCAGCTTTAATTATCTGAGTATACAGTTGGCAGATGTGTGTCATCTCAGGGACAGGAGGGGGAAGCGTCAGAGACCTAGAGAAGTATTTCCCTGGTCTACCTGTCATCTCATTTAAACCCCCAACTGAAGAGGAGGGGACAGTGGCCCCTGGGCTGGCTCCCAGCTTTCTGAGAGCTGCAGTGCTTCCTTCTTGGCACAGGCAGGGGAAGGCAGGAGGAGGAAGGAGCTGGCTCTGTGGAGTACCTGCTGGGCGCCAGCCGGCACCGTGGCTTCTCTTTTTAGCCCCTTGGCCATCCAGAGAACTATGATTTATCCCTATTCAACCAAAGGAGAAGGCCAAAACTCAGGTGGCTGAGGAACAACTAAGACTTCACAGGTGGGAGGTGATAGGGGACAGGAACTTAGAAATGTTCCTATGTGTGGGAGTGAATCTTCTAATCTTTCAAAAGTATATCAGTCAGGAATGTCAGAGAGGCAGGAGGGATGAAGAGGGAGCTGTAAATTGTAACTTCATTGTGGGGTATATAAGCTTTGAAGGCAAGCTGGGACCCCAAGGACTGCTTAAGACATTAGTTCCCAGGAGGAGCTTTTCAGATGACCAAGCACCTAACTGTGGTTGTGCAGACTTGGAACTGCCTCTATGTAATAGAAAGAGTTGTGGGTTTTTGTTTGTTTTTCTTACTGTTTTTACGTGAATTTTGAATTTAAATCAGGCAAAACTGCTCGTTCACTAATAGAGCTTTAAAATAAAATTTTTAAAAAACATCAGAAAAACAGAAAAGGAAACCCGTAGAATGTTAGAGCTGGAAGGCCTCTCACACCCCATGTAATTTAAAGCGCAGTTTATAGGCTGGGTCACTGAGGTCCGGAGGGACGTACGACTTGCCCCAGCTCTCAGCTTTTCCTTTCCTTGTGAAATGGTCACCTTAAAGCCGACTCTCCGCGCATTTGTTTTTTCAGGTAGTATCTGCCGGCATTTGCTGCCCCTGGTTCAGTGCCCCACCTTAATTATACATGGTGAAAAGGATCCTCTAGTCCCACGTTTTCATGCTGACTTCATACACAAACACGTGAAGGGGTCACGGTAAGTCCATTCTCCGCTCCATCATTCTGTGCCTCTAAGGCTTCTGAAGAAAATGGGAGAAGCTTTAGTAAGGAAAAGAAACATGAAGGTTGGGGTCTTTTAAAGTGTACCCCACCACCATTTGCCAATGACAATAAGCAGTACCACTGTATACAGGGTACCAGAGACATAGGGAACACAAAAAGCCCTGATTTATGGGAACAGTAATCACAAGGAAGGGGATTCTCAGATAAATGCCTTTTGTCATTGCTGTAAAGGCAACTGTGCTAATACACACTAAGTTCTGTAACACTGGTAACAAATTACATTCATAGGAATCATTGTTAACTAAAACAATTTTGTATAATTTGGGAATTTTAAGAGTATTATTACAAAAGCACTACCTTCCCAATAAGGAAAATTTGTAAAACCCAAAAAAGGAAACAAATAGCCTTTTCCTTGCCACTCATTTGAATTCTTTTATTACTAGCTCTTTTGTGTGTTTCTCCTTTTTTATAACATAGAAATAATCTATTTTATATTCAACTCTGATGTTGCTTTTTTCCACTTAAAATTATGTTGTAAATTTTTTGTTATTTTAGCCTTAAATATGTACATACCAGATGATAAACCTGTTATTCAGAATTATAAAATACCAAGATATGCCAAACCACGTCGGTGGCTCACTTGATTAAATAGTAGATACATGTTGCTTGTTCTTTGCATCTTTGTTTCTGCCAGCCAGCTTTGGACATCACGGAAACTTCTATGTAAGCAAAATTTTTGTTTTTCAGTTCCATACACTTTTGTCTGGAGTCAACAGAAATTTATATTTTGAACATTTTGGCTGATACAGGAGCCAGCTTTTGCCAGCCAAATAGATAGTCAGCTATATCAAGATGAAAATTCAAAGTTGAATAAATTCAGTATTTCCCTCACATGCAATGGATACGTATCCTGAAAGAGGAAATGAGGGTGACTGGAAGATAGTAACCTCATTTTTTTAACAATCATACTGGAATATAGACATCCAGGGGCACCTTGACGCCCTCAAAGACTGTGTATTAATTTCAGAGATACTGCCATTATTCAGGATGTCTTTGCTATGGAGTTCTTTTGAAATTGACTTTCATTAGCAGCCTAAAAAATCTTTCCTTCCTTCCTCACTCGTTCTCTCCTCTTTCTCTCCTCTTACTCCCTCTGTTCCTCCCTCCCTCTCTCCCTCTCTCCTTTCCTTCCATGAACCCATTTATGATGCCTATGGGCCAGTGCTGCCCTGAGAGCTCCCAGAGTTGAGCAAGGAAAGCAGATGCAGAAATAGTTCCACTACTCCCTAATCATACTATTCCATGCTATATTTTAACAAAGAAATTTCCCAGAGAATTTTTAAGTGTGGGGGACATGCTTCTTATTCTGTAATAAAATATAATTATAAATCTCTATAATTTCTATATATAGCATTTTATATTTTAAAAGGCATTTTACATGTAAAATCTAATTACACTTTACAACTAACTTATGAAAAAGAAATATTGTCCCCATTTTACAGATGAGAAAATCAAGGCTGAGATGCTAAGTAATTGCCCCAGGTTGCATAGCCTGTTAAAGACAAATCCTAGGGGTTTTTTTTTTTCTCCTATTATAGTGCTTTCCCCCCACAACACAGCTGCCTCTGATAAACATACTCTTATTTTAATATCATGGTAAGATTTCTGGATTATATACTTACTGATGTGGTTAATTGTTTTCTAGCATCACAGATGACAGGTTTTTGTATGCTGACTCTCATAATGAAGACATGTGTTCCCTTGGAGAGCCAGGTTCAATAAAAGTCAGTCTGCAAGAAAGTTTAATGTATGAATACTGTTCCAAACCCATCTCCGAACAGCAGAATACATCAAAGTGGTAGAAAAACATTCCCTTACTGTTTAGATATTAATGTTTCCGTGGACTGTTTTATGGAAGTTCATTTCCTTAGAACAATATTCTTTGGAACAAATCAGTTGAAGGTAAAGTGTTATTAGCAGTGATTATCTAAAACTGGCTTGCATTTTACGCCTACTGCCTTCCTCTCCTAAAATGCCCTATATGTTGGACACAATTTGCCTAAAACAGGTGTGATTTATTTTGAACCAACAAAAGGAAGTTGGATTCAATAGGTACCAAAGTTGTACTGTGATTCTGTACACCATGCCCGTGTCAACAACGGTGCAGCAGCTCAGAGTGCAGCAAGCTCCGATGAACTCAGTATTTTACTGCCTTGCCATGGACATTTATAACTAAAATTAAAGGCACAGTCTATCCCTCAAAGATTTTACCAAGAAATAGATAGCATATACGAAGCCAATTCCTTTCTCTCCTCACAAGGAGGCTAATGAAGGGTGGGGTTGTTCAGCAGGCCTGCTTCCTGCTCATGTTAATTTGTCTCTCCTCTCTCTCTGTGGGAGAAGAATGATAGGATCTCTTGGAGGCAAAGAGAGGCTTTAGAGATCATTCAAGTTTACTGGTTTTAAAATTTATTTTTAGTCAATTGAACCCTTCCTACTAACAAACGCTTATTAAATAAGAGCTGTTCTTATTACAACAGTGATGGGGAGCAGACTCTGCCCCTTTGATTCTCCTCGTCCTGCCCCGGCCCCTGTGTGTCCCCTGCAGCCCTCCTTCTGAGACGGAAAAGCACTGACATCACTCACCACCTGTCTAGCTAGTCCATCTCTGCTTGGGTGTCTCCTTTTACCAGACATGCATCACCCATGAGGCCAGCCCCAGCTTGTTTTCAGAGAATTTGCATTGAGCAGAGGTTGGCACCCATAAGACTCTTTGGCGTTAGGGTGGATGGGCCCTGGGAAGCAGTGGAGCTTTGACATCTCAAAGGAGGTTATGACTACATAGCTTGTTGAACCACATGTCTGCTCATTATGTGTATTAGTCTGCTAAGGCTGCTACAATGAATACCAGAGACTGGGAGACTTAAATAATAAATAAGTTTGTTTTCTCACAATTCTGAAGGCTGGAAGTCTGAGATCACCGTTTCTGCAGGGGTGATTTCTTCTGAGGCCTCTCTCCTTAGCTTGCAGACAGCTGCCTTCTCCCTATGTCCTCACATGGTTTTCATCTCTATGTGTCTGTGTCCTAATCTCTTCTTATAAGGACACCAGTCATATTAGGGTGGGCCCTAATGTCCTCATTTTAACTTAATTACCTCTTTTTTTTTTTAATCCTCACCCAAGGACATTTTTTCCATTGCTTTTTTAGAGAGAGGAAAGAAGAGACAAAGAAAGAGAAACATCCATGCGACAGAGAAGCCTTGATTGGTTGCCTCCCATATGTGCCCTGATAGGAGATCAAACCTACAACCTAGGCATGTGCCCCGAATCAAACTCACAACCTTTTGGTTCTGGGACATTGCCTCAACCAACTGAGCCACACCAGCCAGGGCAACTTAATTACCTCTCTAAAGACCAAATATGGTCATACTCTGAAGTACAGTGGGTTAGGACTTTAACATACAAATTTTGGGAGGATGCAGTTCATCCCATTATAGTATGTTTCTGAGGACATGCTCAGATCTCAGGACTTCACAGGCTCAACAGAGGTCAGGGTCTACATTCGAGACCCAGCTGCAAATGACCAGCACCTTGCGTGGAATCCTCCTCTACTGCTCACCTTCTTTTGTTGCCTGGCCAAGTGTACTCATCCTTCAGGTTGCAACTCAAATGTCTCCTCCTCCTCCACTTTCTCCTCCTCCTCCAATTACTTATCTATCTGAAGGCATATAGCTCCTCCTTTATACCTTTTGACATTACCATGTGAATTTAGTTTTCCTCCTGTTGAGCATATCAACACCTATCCCAGGATGTAGTCTAGTAGCTGTTGAAAGAAAGAGAATATGAGAACAACAGAGACACATGGGACCGAGGCTCTGTGGATGGCCAGGCATCACTGACTTGTGGCTCTAGGCCAAAAAGAATGGTATAGAGTCAAACTTCTTGTTCTGGGGCTGTGGCCAGAGAGCCAGACCAGATGGGAAAGAATGAGGGGCAACGCCCATGTGCACAGAGAGTGGCATGTGGGGCCAATGTCAGCCAAAGGAGAGAGGTGGAAAATGGAGTCTCACTTGGACAGCAGAATCAGTGTTTTGGGATCCTGAGCGACATTCACAGCAGTGGTGGTGAAGAGCGCCGGCAGGACTCAGGCAGGTTTGAATGCTGGCTCAGTCACTCATTTAGGGAGTGAGCATGTATTTCTGTGCTTGTTTCCTTGTCTGTAAAATGTGGGTGGTAGTATCCACCATTTAAAATATTTTTTTGAGGAATGAGTGCATATTTGTACATTTAAGACAAAGCTCAGCACACAGTAGCTGCCACTTTTGTGGATGGAATGCTGGTGTGGGTGCAGGTTATTGGGGGCCCAGGAGAAAACCAGGGTATGGCTTGATAGGTCAGAGGCAAGTTGCCCTCCGCCCCAATGTTCAGCATTAGTAGAGGAGTGTGGATTTATTTATTAGTCAGGGTTCTCCAGAGAAACAGAACCAATAGGATACACACACACACACACACACACACACACACACACACACACACACACTTATTTTCACACACACACACACACACTTATTTTCTATAAGGAATAAGGAATTGGACCACGCAGTTACAGGGGTTGAGAAGTACCAGATCTTCAGTTGGCAAACTGGAGCAGAGTCAAGAAGGTGGATACCCAGGGGAGATGAGACATAGCTCCAGTCTAACTCTGATTGGCTGGGAACCAGGAAGAGCCAACGTTTCAGTTTGAGTCTGAAGGCTTGAAAAAGCCCGTGCTGCTTCTTGGAGGCAGTCAGGCAACAGCCTACTTTGGTTTTCAATTAAAACAAAAATGCTCACAGACTTACTGGAAACTGTATGGGTTCATAACTAATTTAGAGTTTTATCACATCCAAAGTGGAGAAAAATGCTGCAGCACATTATTTATGGCTTTGTTCATATCTATAGCACTTGGAGCTTAATTTGAAAACAGGAAGGGTCGACTGAGGAAGGGATGCTAGTATCATTTCTCCTTTGCTACCTGGGCTGTAAAGAGTGAGATCCTGGAAGAACTGTTTCAAGAAGTAAACTGACCACTGAATTTACACTGTAAGGTTAGACATTTTAATTTCTCAAAAGATCTAGAATCACATCTTTTTCTAAAAGTGCCAAATGCAATGAGGAACTTGCCCTGGCAAATAGGAACTTCTGTTTACCACCTTGAGGCCCCTTAATTTCCAGTTGAGCCATGTGTTGGGTGATGAGGGATTTTCCTGCCAGTTCTCCTGGGAAATGTGGCTGTTTAAAAAACATTCTCCATGGATCATGTGATTAGACCCCTTTGTTATTTGGGTGAGAATCTTGGTCAGCAATAGAGTTGCTACATTGCCTTCACAGCTTATATATTTACTCCTGTCTAGTGTGGTACTGTTCCCAAAGAGGAACACACTTTGGCTTTAAGTATAGCAACTCTTGTGTCAGACCTAAAGGGAGGTGTATTTAAGAACTTGAAATGACCCCCAGAAGGTATCAAGGAGAAGAGCAATTTTCTTTACATTCTCATCTGTGTTCATCCATCCATAATTCAATGTAGGTCCAAATGTAGATGACTCAGAACAGATTTCCCATATTTTTAATGAAGGGGACCTAGTTTTTATTTTTTCTAAGACCTAGAGACTACTATAGAAAGAATGCGGACAGCACTGAGGCTAAAAAGAAGGGATTTACTGCTGGTGTCTCCTTATTAGGGATTCTGAATGAGTCCTAAAAATGGGGTAGGACACGTGATAAGCAGCATGACTATCCACTAAGGAGAACTTGCAGGTTGGGCAGATTGGGGTCTCTGCTTCCAAATCCAGCTTAGTGTAGACCATGCAGGTTAGCCCAGATATGCCCTTCTATGACCTTTCAGCATCCTTGGCAGTTGGTTCTGTCTCCTGAAAAGATAGGCCTTGAGTGTCCCTGCAAGCCCTGTTCCTTATGTAGGGCAACTGGGATCCTGTCTTTGGGGTTGATGCGGCTGCCGTTCTTTTCTGAACAGCATTGAAACTGAATTTGGAACATTTTAGCTACTGTAAATGTCATTAACTTTCCTGAGAGCCTGAGAAAGATGCCAACGATATAGCCTATCCTCCTTATAAGTAAGTGATCTTGATTATATCAGTACCTCCATCCCACCCCCACCCATGTGGTTGGGCTGCAAGGACAGCTCTGTTCCCCAGGGCCCTTTCCCAAGTTCTCCCCAGTGCTCTGAGAGCCTTTGGACTCCAGGTGATGAAAGACCAGGGAATTAGCCAATGCGGTAATTGGCATTTTGCACCAATATAGTCCTTTTAATGCCCAGTTGTCATTGTGGACGACACAGCTCAAGCTTGCACTTATACCCTAGAAGCTTTAATTTGTTTAAAACTTTTATTTCTGTACTTTTATAACCAATAAGTAAAATGCACAACTCAGAGAAGACTGCCTTTATAAAAGAAATTGCCAACCAGCCATGTTTGACCACAACCCTATTGAAAGGAAGAATCCTTACGAGGACCGTGAGGTTTGTCTCAAGACATGTAGTGACAGCTGGAGAAAAAAGGGTTGCTGATGCAGGCTGCCACCGCCCACACAGCCCTAAGGAACACGTATTCACCCTTTGTCTAGTGGCTTGTATTTAGTTATTCAATTCTCCAAAAATGACGGTAATTTTGAACCGTGAACAAGGGTCTGGTGGTAGCTGGATCGATTTGGGTTTTTCCACTATATAGATGCCCCAAACAACTCTCCTGTTCTAACCCAGTGGATTCTGGACATTTTCTATTTTACCATCTTTCCAACCTTCTCTTAAAACTCTACCTTATTAAAATGGAATTTGGGGTTGTTTTTTTTTTAGGTAACCACCAAATCATTTGTCATATGCTCCACTCTCTAGCAGGTTCAGTTAAACTGTTTGTTACATGATACAATTCCAAGTACAGAGTGTGCTCTGTTACTGTCAGGCCAACTTCCAGGTTGGTCATAAACTCCAGGCTTTTACTCTTCAGTATTCAGGAAAGGTTATACTATGTACCTTACATTCTCTCCCCAAACACAGTCATGAAAAAAATGTGGCAAGTTTTTACTTTAGATTTTCACGTCATGTTAGGGAGGTGAGAGGTTCTAAATGGTGTGCCATCAATCATGAACTTTTTCTTTTCAGGTTGCATCTGATGCCAGAAGGCAAACACAACCTCCACTTACATTTTGCAGATGAATTCAACAAGTTAGCAGAAGACTTCTTAAAATAAATACGTGACCTGGTGATTCTTTATCCTGTGGCTTGTCAGCCTCTTGCTGCCTCTGGCCCCCACCCTGCATGTCACACCTCAGCTCCCCTTCCCCCGGGCTTTTATTCCTCCCCACAGCTGTTCCTAATCCAGCAGGAACAATGACGTTAAAAACATCCTCTAGCTTTAATACATACGAAAATCAAATCTGATTTTCTAACATTAAGCTGTGAATCTGTACAATGGTCTTAAATAAATTCCTTATGGTGATTTACTTTATTTGCAAATAAATGTTAGATGAGCACTTGCAGTGCTCCTGCTATTTTAGGGCACTGTGAATTGATGCTATACCTTTTATCTGAGAGGTACAAGCAGTCACTGGTCTTTATAGTTGTTTATCATTGCACAAAGCAGGTAAAGAAATAGAAGAAAGTCCTTGCCTAAGGTCCTCAATTCTAGATTTTCACAGGATTGATAAAACTCCAGCAAAGAGAAGAAGGTTTACTTTATTCTCAAATCTATTCACTCCCTTACCTTTACTGGATTCCTTTACTTTCACACTTTGGGCCAGTGAAGAGGAAAAAATATTTTTTATCTCTTTATTAATAGAACTATTAAGTAACATTAAGTACATGGTGACAGAACATGATTTGACTTTGGGTGGTAGATACAATGCAGTATGTATATCATGTATCATAGAAATGTATACTTGAAACCTATGTGATCCCATTAACCAATGTCACCCTAATAAATTTAAAAAAAAATTTTTTTAAATGTACAAATTCTGTTTTGTTAAAATTACTAAACCCAAAAACATATTCAAGAAGTGTCTAGTGAAAGAATAAAAAGAAAGAAACCACAAGATTTTAGACACATGCTTTATAATTAGTATAGATACCTTAGAATTTCTGACAGAGGCAAAACTGAGCACCATAGTATACAAATAGAAAGACCATGCTTGACTGAGGACAACAGAAATTCACTAACAATGCACGATGTATTTATGAAGTTCTTAAGCCTCATCCTCGCCTTCCTCCTCCTCGAACTCCCCCTGTTCGTCGGCCGTGGCGTCCTGGTACTGCTGGTACTCGGACACCAGGTCGTTCATGTTGCTCTCGGCCTCGGTGAACTCCATCTCATCCATGCCCTCGCCCGTGTACCAGTGCAGGAAGGCCTTGCGCCGGAACATGGCCGTGAACTGCTCCGAGATGCGCTTGAACAGCTCCTGGATGGCCGTGCTGTTGCCGATGAAGGTGGCCGACATCTTCAGGCCTCGAGGCGGGATGTCGCACACAGCCGTCTTCACGTTGTTGGGGATCCACTCCACGAAGTAGCTGCTGTTCTTGTTCTGCACGTTGAGCATCTGCTCGTCCACCTCCTTCATGGACATGCGGCCCCCGGAAGATAGCGGCCACCGTCAGGTAGCGGCCGTGGCGCGGGTCGCAGGCGGCCATCATGTTCTTGGAGTCGAACATCTGCTGGGTGAGCTCGGGCACCGTCAGGGCCCGGTACTGCTGGCTGCCCCGGCTGGTCAGGGGGGCGAAGCCGGGCATGAAGAAGTGCAGGCGGGGGAAGGGCACCATGTTGACGGCCAGCTTGCGCAGGTCTGCGTTCAGCTGGCCCGGGAAGCGCAGGCAGGTGGTGACCCCGCTCATGGTGGCCGACACCAGGTGGTTGAGGTCTCCATACGTGGGGGTGGTCAGTTTCAGGGTGCGGAAGCAGATGTCATACAGGGCCTCGTTGTCGATGGAGTAGGTTTCATCTGTGTTTTCCACCAGCTGGTGGACGGAGAGTGTGGCATTGTAGGGCTCCACCACCGTGTCGGACACCTTAGGCGAGGGCATCACGCTGAAGGTGTTCATGATGCGGTCTGGGTACTCCTCCCGGATCTTGCTGATGAGCAGGGTGCCCATCCCTGAGCCGGTGCCACCGCCCAGCGAGTGGGTCAGCTGGAAGCCCTGCAGACAGTCACAGCTTTCTGACTCCTTCCTCACCACGTCCAGGACTGAGTCTACCAGTTCAGCTCCCTCTGTGTAGTGGCCCTTTGCCCAGTTGTTTCCAGCCCCGCTCTGGCCTGCCAGAGGGAAAGAAAAATACTAGACACTAAACATAAGAAATTTCAAGTTGTTATGGTGGCTCTGCACTAGACTCAGAATAGCAAGTTCTTGCCTTTTAGATACTTTTTACTACTTATAGAAAATTTTTCTGTATTAGTGACCCTCAAAAACACAGGAGTCATAACAGAACAAGTTTAGTTCAAAGGAGGTTATTAGTTGAACAAAACTATCTTCTTAAGAACAGAACATTCTATTGGGTTGGCCAAAAAGTCCTGTTCATTTTTTCTGTACAGTGGCTCTAGTAGTGCTTAGTTGCCTTTAACTTCATTGGAAACACTTTCGTTAGATTGAATTGTGACAGCTGTCACATCAGTGTGCATTTAAAAATAAAGTTTATCAATACCCTTGCTATGTGGCTCAGTGGATTGAGTGCCGGTCTGCAAACCAAAGGGTTGCCGTTCAATTTTGTGTAGGGCACATGCCTAGGTTGCAGACCAGGACCCCAGTAGGAGGCATGTGAGATGCAGCCATATATTGATGTTTCCCTCTCTTTCTCTATCCCTTCCCTTCTCTAAAATAAATACAAATAATCTTTTAAAAAAGTTTATCAAAATCAGTGAATTTTTGTGCAGCCATTTTAATATTGAAGATGGGAGAAGAAAGGCAACATTTTCAGCATATTTATGCTTTATTGTTTCAAGAAAGGTAAAAACAACTGAAATACAAAAAAAGATTTGTGCAGTGTATAGAGAAAGGGATGTAACTGATTGAACGTGTCAAAAGTGCTTTGTAAAGTTTCTTGGTACTATTGACATTCTGGCCAAATAATTCTTTGCTGTGGAGCTGTCTTATGCATTGGAAGATGTTAAGATGTTAAGCAGCATCCCTGGCCTCTACCAATTAGAAGCCAACAGTGGGAGATAACCCACATCCTCAAAATATCTAAATCAACAAAGTTATTGGTGAAAATGTGTCTTGTGTTTTATGGAAAAAAACTAAATGGACTTTTTGGCCAACCCACTATAAAAACTTAAATTAGGTCCCATTAACAGGCAAGGGCAAAGGCGCAATGAGAGAAAGAGATCTGATTACTGGTCATAACCTGTGCCTTTGGCCTTTGCTTCTTGAAGTGGCCACCTACCGTCAGAGATGCTCTGAAATCACCAGTAGCCTATTAACTCCTGTTTGAAGCTTTTTCATTGTCCTTTATTCTTTGCCCTTCACAGGCTGCTCTGTAGTGGGCAGGCTACAGCAGACCTCTGCAGCTTGACACTGTCCTTTGTTGAGCTGTCCAGAGAGTCACCGCCCCTGGGCTGGGTGGAACTAGGCCATGACTCAGGGCTACCTGTGGGCACATAGTGTCCACCTTGGCCGTCAATGCTATAAGCTGTGATTTCCACAGTGTTTCAGAAGAAGACTCATTGGGCCAGTTCCCTTGATCATGACTACATACCAAACACGAAGTTGTCGGGCCTGAAGATCTGGCCGAATGGTCCAGACCTGACCGAGTCCATCGTGCCTGGCTCCAGGTCCACCAGGATGGCCCGAGGCACATACTTGTTACCTGCAGGAAATAAGAGCTGGGCTTAGGCCTGCAGTTCACAAAGGAATCAGACAAGGGAGTGCTCTCTGCACCTTTCCCAGCAGAATTCATTAGGGAAATTCCCGCACGTGAGACAAAAGTACAAAAACGGGGGAGCGTTTCTGCTTTAAAAACGGGTAATGAGCATGCTTAGTCATGGCAAACATGCAGGAGTCTTAAGGAACTACACTGTATTTTTTTAGCAGTTGACATTTAAAATGAATGCAAGCAGCATTTCTTTGTCATTTGCGTGTTCCTAGCACATTGCATGTGCCACAGTATGGAAAGCAAGGTTGACAGAAAAGCAAGAGACGTTCAAGTAATCACCGGCAGCTTCATTGTAGTACACGTTGATTCTCTCCAGCTGCAAGTCGCTGTCTCCATGGTAACTGCCAGTGGGGTCGATCCCGTGCTCATCACTGATGACCTCCCAAAACTGGAAATTGAAAATGTGTGTGTATCAATATCACATCACATGATGGCCTGGCATCATAAATATTGACAAGGGTGGCCTTTTCTTCCTCTCATGTCCTTGGAACAGTGGCCACTGTGATCAGACGGTTAAGGAGTCCTAGACAGACCAGGCAGCTGTGCAGCCCCGTTCCTCCAGCAGAGGCTGCTGAGGGGCTTGGAAATCGGCAGAGCACCTGCCATATTATGGCGACAGCCTGAAAAGCTGGGAGGGGCACGGAGGGAGGAGGGTGGGCACAGCAGATCTTCTGGGGCGGCTGTGGATGCTGGGGAGGCTGTTGCCCCCAGGCAGGGCTGATGTCCCAGCACCCTGGCACCCTGGCATCCGAGCTGATGGATGGGTCCTGGGAGGACCCAGAGCCAGTTGGATCCCACCCTGTGGCTGCCTTATAGGAATCAGTGTCTCCTGGCACAAATCCCACCCAGCCCTCCATGCAGTGCAGTCTTATGCCACTGACAACCAAATTGGCCTCTGGCAATTGAGCTCAGCAGGCCATGGGTGGGGAACCGCAGGAAGGAGCCTGGGAGGATGACTGGGGCAGTGAACAGAGCTGGCCTTGGAGAGGGCACAGGCTCCATTGTGAATCTGCAGCAGGAAAGGGGGCGGGGAGGTTGGGGTGGGCAATATGGCGGTTCTGACAGAGACCTCGTCCTTGTTCAGACCTCGCCCACACCCATGCACCATGACTGCTCCATCCTCGCCAATGCGGTGGGTAATTGCAGCCCCCACACAGTCACCTGCCGCCTCGGAGACTGGAAGCTAGACTGGCGTCACATATTATCATGTCTAGATGATGCACATACTAGGGAAATTAACATTCTCGTCTGTGTATCCCAAAAAGTAGTCTCTGTATATCTCTCATCTCAATGACACTGCATTTTTTTTTCCATTCAAACTATTTTAAAAAACGTTCAAATTAAGTCCTACATGAGGACACTGGATTAATATGGCCAGAGAGTCTATCCGAATTTCAGAGGCTAATGCACCCAGAGAAATGCCAAGCACATGCAGATTAAAGGTCGGTTCCGAGAAAATTTCAAAGGGCCCTGATTAAAGGCACATACAGCTGCGTCCCCTCGCCTATCGCAGCAGGTGGTGTGGCTTTCTGGGCCCCCAGGCGGCCATGCCGAATATGCGCCACTGGGGCCGCGGGCTGCCGCCAGGGCCACCGTCGCCTCCCCCCTGCCCCGGCCGCACCCTCAGCAACCGCTGCCCCTCCACTCCACCCCACCCCACCCCACCCCACCCTCCCGGTCTGCACCCTTGGGGCCCGCTGCACCTCTAGCCCCGGTCCACACCCTCCGGGCCCACTGCCCACTCTCGGCCCCTTCTTGTCCTTCTGTCGGGGCGCGCCCACCTTGGCGCCAATCTGGTTGCCGCACTGGCCCGCCTGGATGTGCACGATCTCGCGCATGGTGCCGGCTGCGGAGCGGGTGGAAGCGCTGGGCCTCGGAACTGTGAGCGCAGCACGGACCGGCAAGCTCCGGAGCGAGGACGACTCTCACCGCCCCTCAGCTCTGCCTTTTATACCGACGAACCCGCCCGCCCTGCCTTGATGTAATGGCAGGCGGAGCTGCGGGGGGAGGTGCGCCAGAGACTGCGGCACCACGAGGGGGAGCCGGGGCGCGGTGCGAGGTGCGGG